AACGTTATTCAGTTGAACGGCTTAGATCCTTCCGCTGTCTGCTCGTTTGTGGAGTTCGCTTACGTTGCAAAGGTCAAAATAACGGTGGACAACGTGCAGTCGCTGCTCACTGTCGCAAGTTTGCTTCAGGTTGAATCTTTAGTGGAAAAATGTTGCCACTTTCTTGAAAGCGAGTTGCATCCTTCAAACTGTCTCGGGATCAGGCGTTTTGCAGAAAGTCACGGTTGCTTTGCATTAAGTAAAATCGCAAAACAGTATGCAATGCGGAATTTTGACCAAACAACACAGCTGGAAGAATTTTTGCAGTGTTCTATAGAGGGAGTTATTGAATTTCTTAGTGAAGATGTTTTGTATGTCCGCCATGAAGAAGAAATATATGAGGCAGCCTTGAGATGGCTCAATTACAGTAAGCAAGACAGGCTAGAGAAATTTCCCAAATTAGCTGAGGTAATTAGGTTTCCCTTGATGGCATGGGAATTCTTGGTGACAAAAGTCTTAGATGATGGTTTGATCACAAGCAACCCTCACACGTTGCACCTCTTTGAGGAGGCAAGGAGGTACCACCTTGCTCCACAGTTGCGCCATGAAATGAATCAGTGCAGCCGGTTAAGGCCGCGCAAGCTGTATGGCCAGGCTGAGTGGATCTATGTTATTGGTGGGGAAACTAGTCCAGGTAATCAGATGCAAGCGAGTGACAGAACCCAGTCAATGAGTAACAACATTACTAATACAAATATTTTGGATCTTGTGTACTTGAGGCACCCCTTGGTCAAGTATTGGTTGACACTATTGGCCAACACTGTTGAAATGTTGGCCAAGATATCAGCCGATACTTGATTAACATATTGGCCAAATATCAGCCGACATGTCAAGTCTCAGTCATCATGTTTGCTGCAGAGTGTTGGTCAAGATGTTACCTGATATGTCAACTGATAGATGGTCAACATTTTGATTGCCTATTGGCAAATATGTCGACTTATAGTGTGGGTCAGAATGTTGACCAAAACACAGTCAACATATTGATTGATAAGCCATGATTGTTCAGCTGGCACGTTACTGATACTTCGTCGACTCTTCTGGCCAGGGGTTCGTTTCTTGAAAGACCCGGAAACTTTTCGGGCCCAAAGGCAATTTTTAAATTGAAAACCTGTTGATAAGAAGCACATTTCCTAGCTCACAAACCAGTCAATTTTTCATCTAATCACTTTCAAAAGTATTGAGACTTTGATCTTGAATGCAAACAGGGCAAACATTAACAGCTTTTCGCGACCAAAAAGTTGCTGGGACTTTCGAGAAACAGGGCCCTGGGGTGTTATTTCCTGTGTACTCAAATTTCTGTTATTTGTTTTGCCCAGGCAGCAATTTCGAACTGACTTTGACAAGTTTGACTAGCCTAGTGTGAGAGTATGGCAAAAAGCAGTTCTCAATGAACTGGTGTGTAAAAATGCCTACCTCATGACCAGGGATCCATTTCAGCAGCCATCAGGTTGTCCCAGATGACCATAACATCGAGAGAGTTTTGAATGTAAATGAGTTTTAAATGTAACATCCAAGACCCTACCTGCTGCTTAACTTTCCACCAACCACAAAAGCTGAAGCCACTGGCATTGTGCTCTGCAAAGTTGGTCCAGTTGCTTCCAAACATGACTGGGTGTTCTCTTAAAAAAGTATTATTTTGTGTAGTATTACACTTCAACTTGATCAAGATCCATGAAAAGTCCTCAGATCCCCTGAAGGCAAGTGTAATTCTCACTGCCAAGTCTCAATGATATAACTTCCTTAAATAAGGACACTCTCGAGACACTGATTATGTTGTTCCGTACTTGTCACTGCCCTTCTCATGTCTACAGTTGTATAATTTATTCATGACAGGCAAGTAAAATCTAGCCAGGGCAAGTATATTTTTCGACATACTTGCCCGGCTGACGACTGTGAAAAATACTACTAAATATGGATCCCTGGTCATGACTAAACTCCACACGTCTCAGTTGCATACTGATATTTTGCCAATGTCTGAGAGTTTGAATACTTGATATTTTAGGTAGAAATACAGTGAAGACTGTGGAAAAATACAACCCAACTACTGACACCTGGTGCAAAGTGTCTCCAATGCTGACTCCACGTCGTGGACTAGGAGCAGCTATTTTAGATGGCATTTTGTATGTTGTAGGTGGATCAGATGGAATTGCAGCTGTAAATCAGGTAAATTTGTGTTTTTTATCTGGCCGTTGCCATTTTCCAAAAATTAGATGCGTCAAGGCATTCATCTTCTCAGAAGAGACCCCTGTTTGACAATTCCTGTAAGCAACCAACCATTAATGTGAAGACCTAATGGACACTTACAGAAGGTAACTTAACAATCAACAAACAGGGGGTCTCTTCTGAGAAGATGTCTCAGCACATCTAATTTTTAGAAGATAAGTTATTTCATGCAATTTCTGAGTTATGTGTAAGAATAGTTCCATGTTGTCAATGAAAGTTCTTGTTATACTCTGGGCGGCACAGGACATACTGCGAACAGAGGGCACATCCTGCATCAAGTGGTCTCTTACGAGGTTAAAAACAATGGACAATAACTACTGTCAGGCTAAGGAAGTACTAAGTCAGGGTTGTGTTTGAGTAGGTGCTGATTACAGGGATCTGAGTAGGAGAATCTTGGTGTTTTGGAAAGAAGGTTGCTTGTGGGAGGTGGTCATGAATGAGAGGTGGTCGCACATGGAGGTTCAACTGTATTTACCTTATCATTTAATGCTGCTTGTGTCGGGCAACCTTATTATAGGAAATTAAGGCGTCATAAAATTAATGCGAATTTAGTTGAATACGACTTTCAAAAAAATGAAATTAACGGGTCGTCTACAAAGAAACAAAAACTTCTTGGGACAAAAGAAGTAAAGGTAAACAGATAATCTGAAATGCAAACTTTGTTCATGGTACTTTCCCTAAACATACGAAGGGGATCCAGCGAAGAAATCTGGCCATGACGGTTCTTCACAGTTTCACTGTTACTGGCAAATCTCCACCCTGATAAAATACTCCTCTTTCTTAGGTGTCAAGAATGTCAGAAATGTATGTAAAATAATTGAAATTAAGGTCACAGAAATTAATGCTCTACTTAATTAAGAAATTAACGCGACTATTCGCATTAATTTCATGAAGCGTGAATTTCCTATAATACATGTAAGGTAATTAAAACATGCTAGCCTGATGGGTCACTCCACTTTCCCTGGGCTATCAGAAAGCAAGTTCTTATCATGCCCTTCTGACAAAATTGTGATCAGACTCTAATTTCTCTTAATAATTATATCTTAAATTTTTGTGAGGCAATGCTGTGCTCTGGCATTGTCCAATTGCCCCTGGCATCCAACCATCCCTCCTGGATGACTTTAAAATGTTAGTTTCCTATAGAAATGATTTGCTGGGCACCCTGGATTTCACAGGTTTAGGGGACTCGGCTCTGTTCAATTTTTCTCAGAGCACAGTACTGTAAGGGTCATGAAGTCAAAGGAAATATGATTTTTTAAATGTTGATTTATAGCAGACCTTATAAAGGCCTATTGAGCCGTTTTAGTAAGATTCTTTAAAGTGCAATCAACTAGTAATGAAAAGATGGACATTAAAATAATGATTGCCAAAGATAAAAAAAATTGATTTTAAGTGCCCATTTTCCACTTTGGCAAGTGTATAGAGTGTGGAGACTATTATTGAAATCTCCCTTTTTCTATATAGGTGGAATATTATGATCCTAGTTTAGACGCATGGGCAGTAACCACGAGTATGATAGAACACAGAAGTAGCGTGGGTGTGGCCGTTCTAGATGGCTTTCTTTATGCTGTTGGCGGGTATAATGGGCAGGCAACTGTTAAGACAGTGGAGCGGTACAACCCCCGTATGGCAGAATGGCAGATGATCACCGAAATGACCACGGAACGAAGCATGCTAGGGGCAGCTTCGCTGAATGGTGAACTCTATGCTGTGGGTATGTACCTTAATATTCTCTCTTAATTTCATGAGTAATAATTTTAATTCCACGAAAAATCATGAGCCATATTTCATGAGTATTTAATTTCATGATTTTTAGGGAAAGGTTGAATTGGAATGTATTAAATTTTGTGATTTTTCTATTCTTAAATAACATCATGTAAGGTAACTTTGACCTTAGAACAGTAACAAGAGAAACAACTGCAAACAAAGACAATCAAGCTAAACATAACAAAGCATAATGTTATCAACAGTCTAAATAGGTACCCCAAATAGCTACATAGTACTGTTAGACAGTTAATATTTACACTCTTGTCAACTTTGAAATGAGCCATGAAATGACATCTGAGGAATATATGCAAAAATTCCAACTGGTGATATGTCACTACTTAGATCTCAGGGTAGTACCTCTCATTGGTCGTGCCACAAGGGAAATTTGCCTTAACCAGTCTGAAGCACTAGCCTCATCAGAGAAGTGACATGTCACCAGTATGAAATTTCTGAAGTTCTTCCTCCAGACGTCATTTTGCAGGAAATGGAATAGATTTGTGCAATTGTGATACACGAGACATTCTTAACAGAAATTTTGTTTGCGATTTGCCCACAAACCAACAGATGTGCACATGTAAGAGGTAAATGATGAGTGGGTTTCAATCTCCTCAGGTATTTCAATTATAATAATAATATTATTATTATTATTATTATTATTATTTTGCCGCCACCGGTTAGCTCAATTTGATAAGCACTGGTCTGCTGAGCGGGAGGTCGTGGGTTCAAACTCCAGCTGGACCAACACTCAAGGTCTTAAAATAACTGAAGAGAATGTGCTGCCTTTGTTGTGACATCTGCAAATGGTTAGACATTCTAGTCTTCTAGGACAAGGACGAAAAACGGTGGGTTCTATTTCATAGCTCTTTCAATGTTCTGTTTCTTGAAAGATGTAAAAGAACCTACACTGCTGTTCGTAAAGTATAAGGGGCATAGACCCTGGTGGTGTGGTAGAACCTTTGATGGGGTGGGTAATAAAGGGTTGATGCCAGTCCTGTTTCATCCTTTGTCACTGTGTTGGGTCACCATGGAAAATTTAAAAATATATATATATAAAATTTATTAATAATGATAAATGTGACACTGAAAAATTACATGCATGGCACCATTTTTATGAATCTTTGTTAAATTTTGCAGGGGGTTATGATGGCATTTTTGACCTTTCATCAGTGGAGTGTTACAACAGTCAGACAAATATCTGGAACCAAGTCTCACCCATGAAAACGCCACGCTGTCTGGTTGGCGTTGCAGTTCTCAATAGTCACCTATTTGCTATCGGTGGCTGCAATGGACAGAGCTTAGAAACTGTTGAAATTTATAGCCCTGATAAAAACACATGGACTATAATTGCACCAATGAAACAGCGGCGTAGTGATGTTGGAACTGCAGTTGTAGATGGTCTGCTGTATATTGTCGGTGGCTCTGATGGTATGGAATATCTAAACAGCATGGAACTGTTTCATCCGCAGAAAAGAAAGTGGACATCTTCTACAAGTATGCAAACAACTCGCAAGAGATTTGGATGTTGCTCCTGATTATTGTAAATTCTATGACAGTTGGACTTAATTATGTTCAGTTTTGTCTTATGGTGATAATATTTAACAAAATGACTGACTAGATTATCATGTGAGGAGCATGGGATGTACAAAAAAACATCTTAAATCAACATGAACAAAACCTAGGAAAAATAATGGTTGTAAAAAAAATTACTGTTACTGTAAATATCTTCAGGGCTAGCTCACAGTACACCAGTGAACAGTTTTAAATAATAATAAACTCATTAAGCAGTGTAACAGTTGAGAATTACCTTGTGTTTTTGCTCTGTGTTTTATTGTCTGTCATCATTATGGGATTTTTGGGTTGAGGAGCAAGGAGAAAAGGCTGTATTCGCATGCTATAGCTTATGAAGGGGGGACAGGATTTGGTGAAACTGGCTGGGGAAAGTTGGAAGCAGCAAAAAAAGTGCCCTGGGCCCAGTTGTCCAAACATTGGATAGCGCTATCCATCACTATCCAGTCAATGAGTACTAGGAAAAAAAAATTGTGCTATCCAGTGGATAGTGAGTTATCTGGTGGATGGTGTTATCCTACATTTGAACAACCAGGGCTGGCTGCATTTTCTTAGATGTCCTCAACCCTGTCATGTGGTTAATGTACTGTACCACAGTCTTCTTTTCTACCTGTTTATCTTTGGGTGTCTGGTGAAGAAGGAATCTGTACCTTTTGTAATCCACGTATTAACCTTTTCTCTACCAGCATTGGCCAAAGTTAAAATGTAACAAAATTAATTCAAATTTCATCCTGGAGAATGCGGAAAAACACAAAATACATCAAAAACCTGTGAGTAAGAACCTGCATTTTCCCATAAATAAAGGTAATTAGCACAATTTTAATTAATTGGTTCTTAAGTAGGTTCTTAAAAATACAGTGTACCTAAGATTATTTAGTGGTTCTTAGCCTTTAATTCCTTGTATAAAATCTTCATACCATTACATTGCAGTTGGAGTAATAAGGCACCTATGTCTCCAAAGAGGATCCTGAATGTTGACTTATCCTATATGCCCAAATGTACATAATTTTTTAAATAGATTTTAGAATATAAGAACCAGTTTCAAATTTTAGGCTTAACGGTTTCTTAAAAACCAAGTTCTTACTTGCAAGTTTTTACTGTAGTACTATGTAAAATTATCTGTTTTGAATAATCACACCCTAGGGTCTCGTCCACAGACTCGTTTATAGTCTCTTATGGCCTGTTTACATGGAGTTGGGGGACCCCACATGGGTGAGGTAAAATAATGAAAAAAACCGTGACGTAAAGGTGATCAAATTAAAATGAGAGATTATATGGACACATGGGTCACCCTACCTAAGTGGGTTACCTCACCTACATGTACCTGGGGTCCCCCATATCCATATAAACATGCCCTTATGCATTCACTGTGAGGGTGGTCACCCAACACTTCTCCCCAAAAGAGGCTGCACCTTGCCCATTGTTCGTCTAAATACTGGCCAGTCACATCTCAGTTAATAATAAATTGCTTCAAATAAGCCACTCAAAGTGCAGTTGTTGCAGAAATGACACCAAATTTGTCCTTCAGTTAGTTATGCAGATCAGGCTCCATGGTTGGGGAAAGGCAAAAAATGGGGTGAGACAGCAAAAATCAGTGAGCGAACCAAGCAGAGTGGTTTTGCCTTTTTCCCCGACTTTGGAGCCTAATCCCACCCTATGGTACACAGCATAAACAACCTTGAAATGTGTCTATCATTTCCAAGCGATTTTCACAATAAGACTGTCAATTTTTCATTATTTTTATTTTACTGGCAAATTGATATTATTACAAGCTAGTTTGACTGTGTTGTATTATGAACTGAACAACCAGACTATGTACTAGGTACTCTAAACTCTTCAAGCAAAAATAATAATGTTTCATAAACAGCAAAAAACATACTCAAAACAATAGGGGCTGTTATGGCTTAGGCAGAGGCAAAAATGGCAGAAGACACCTTACAGTATTTTCCTATTGACTTCTGCAAAACTATGTATTCAAAAGACCCCAGTCTGTGTTTTGCAGGCATGAAAACAATTTNCAGACTATGTACTAGGTACTCTAAACTCTTCAAGCAAAAATAATAATGTTTCATAAACAGCAAAAAACATACTCAAAACAATAGGGGCTGTTATGGCTTAGGCAGAGGCAAAAATGGCAGAAGACACCTTACAGTATTTTCCTATTGACTTCTGCAAAACTATGTATTCAAAAGACCCCAGTCTGTGTTTTGCAGGCATGAAAACAATTTTTGGTCAAATATCACTATGTGCAAATTATTTAAATATAATTACTAAAACAATGAAAATTACACCAGTTTCAAATTACTCATAATCTGACCTACCATGTGTCACAAAATTTTTGTAAGTTTTGCTTTTTTTTCAAAATCTACAAATTTTCTCCAATTAAGCAGAATACCAGTGTGGAAAAAGAAATTTTGGCCATAATTAACTCACAAGATCATGGTGCATCAGGTTACAATGTTGCTGATGGATTGCAGGAGCAATCATCAGCCCCAGTATAGGCTGTAAAACTGATGTTACTATGATAGAGTGATACTAATGATTAAAATGTTTTACATCTCTGCTAGTGCGAGAAAACAGCTGTCAATTTGTGACGTCACCACTGGTTTCCACGTGAAATGACATCTCAGCAACCACTGTAGAAATTCCATACTGATGATGCGTCACTACCCAGATCTGGGTAGTGCTTTTGATTGGTTGTGCCGCAAGAGAAATTTGCTTTAAACAATCAGAAGCAATACCCAGATCTGGGTAGTAACGTCATCAGCTTGGAATTTTTGCAGTCGTTGCTCAGAAGTCGTTTCGCAGGGCAACCAGTGATGGCATCGTGAAATGTCAGCTGTTTTGTCAGGATACATCTCTGCATGAGGGGACACTTGTAATGTGGGCACATGTAGTTTATAAACAAAACCCAAGTGTTGTAATTCCAGTAAATTAAAAAATACATTCTCAGCTGAAAACCAGTATTTCACAATAATATTGCAAAAATTTGGTCTTACAAAATACAAAATATCTCCATTCACAAAATTAAACACAGGACTGCAAAAATTTGGTGTAACATGGTAGAGGTGACTACTCACCACTGGGGTAATGTCACTACAACCTCTTTCCCAGGGTTCTTGCCCACCCCTCCCATATTCTCTCACTCTGTGGGATGAGTATAGGAGAGAACCCCCTGGGAACAAGGTTGATGTCACCTAAAAAATCTCGGTCAAAATTGCCTAAGTTTTTGTTTTAAGTCCCTAATGTTCAACAACATTGCCTAAAGAATAGGAACATTCTTTCATTTTTAAAAATTTAAGACTACATTTTATGCATTAAAATGCCTCTGGTCAGTCAGAAATGCCAAAGGAGTTTCATCAATTTGAAAACTTAAGCTTAATACTACTACAAGTATATGGACCTGCTGCATTGCAAACTCAAAGGAATTCTTTTGTAGGATTTCTCCGTTTTTCCCACAAAGAAGGTTAGATACTGCAAATGTTAGAAACTTACATTACTTCCTATTTTTCAGCTGAGTGGAAAGCCAATCCAGTCCTTCATATAAACCATCACCACTTGTTGCACACGTTGCTTGAATGTACCATTGACGATTACGTAAGCTGTGCAGGCCTAACTTATCAGTTACTTCAGCAGCATTCATGGCATTGGGCAAATCCTGAAAAACATAATGACACGCTGTATAAAAAAGATTGAATGACACCACCTACACTGTAGAAACCCTGGCCTCTTACCCGCAGAACAGTCAACTGAAATCAAAATTCAATAAAATCACCAAATTTCATTTCGTAAAATGGGTTATTCCAGAAAAAATCCACACTCCCCCAACAGAAGGAATGCTGGAAAATCTCATAGGAGGGGAGTTTAATGGCTCTGGAAATCCAAATAGGAGGGGGATCCTGAAAAACATACATCCTCAAGAGTTACTTTCATCAATGTTTTGATCGATTCAATTGACAAGTTTTGGATAACTGCTTTGCACTTTCAAATTGTATTATTCTTTCAAACTACAGATGTCTCACTTATAAAAATCTATTTTAAGTTTCCATCCATAGGCTCGCCTTTGTTACTTTTGTAGAAGTGACATGCAATACCTTTGATGATTAAAGACATCAAAAACATTGAGGAAAGTCGTATAATTCGTAAAAAAATTGCTCAATTCAAGTAAAGTAAGCAACTTTCCCAAGGTCAATGCTATTTCAGGGTAATAGAATACCACTAAATCATCTTTCTCATGTATAGACCAGGCTTAAAATTCACCATGTTTGTCACATGTTTTCTTTTCTGTGCATTGTATAAAACAAATAGATGCCATGTTACTGTGCATCTGTTCAGTAATAGGCTGATATTTTAGCAACAGGCAGGAACATCAGTTGACGACTGGAAAGCTCGCGGAAAGGATTAAACATGACTTCCAGTGCTCAAGTTGTCACTCTGCCATTGGTCAAGCCAGTTGTCTGATTTGCGCGTGCCGTTGTCAACTGACGTTCCCATTCTGTTGCTAAATCAACCTAACAGAACACAGAAGACGTGGTAAGAGTATCAGTAACACAATTTCCAGCACATGGCTAGTGTGCCACTTTCAGACTTCTTTACACAAATTGACATCATCTGCGCTCTGTTACTGAACAGAAGCACAGCAATATGAAATCTTTTTGAGACCTTCATATTCTAAGATGAGGACAAATAATTATTAATACAAGAACAAGATTTTCTAATACTAAGTAGTGTGCGTGCATGAGCCAGCATCATTTTGGTGGAAAAACATGATAGCTATGTTAGCGAAACTGTTAAAAGGTTTCTCAATTTGCAATTGGGAGAGGGCTTAACCTCCTTCAATAAAACTAACTGTGTGAACTTTTCTGGTAAAAAAAAAAGGTACAATTTATGCAGCTTCCTGGGGATATCTTTTCAGAATATGTGATGAAAGTTTAAGTTAAATCTCATCCCCGTCGTGAATCTGAAGGTCTGTTATTAGGGACCTTAAAATACATCATTTCTGTGTACGGGTATGGGTACGTGTAGCCATTAATGTGGGTAGACTGCCTCTTATCCCAGAGAAACGATTAGGCATCTGGGGAGAAAGGTGATGCTATTATCACATCTGGGAAATCATGATCTCCTTTTGAATAACAACATGGCAAACATGTTCGTCTACACGTACTAACAGGTAGAAACTGTGTTATGTTCGCCTACACGTACCCACAGGTAGAAACTGTGTATCTTAAGGTCCCTACTTTTATAACTGCATAGGGTCGACAGAGGATGGTAAACCTGTGCAGCAATTTTGCTTGCAACCGACTTTTGTCGTATATATTAGTATAAAATTAAGTTAAAAACAAAATTTTTCGACCCGAGCTACCAAAAAACCAAGGTTTTACACCATTTCTGTAGCTATGAATTATTATTCACCTGTTTATTTGCAAAAACAAGGACAACAGCATCCCTGAGTTCATCTTCACTCAACATCTTCACCAATTCGTCTTTCGCCTCAGTGGCCCGCTCTCGATCATTGCTATCCACGACAAAGATTAGACCTATAGAACAGGTTATGAATACAGTTTAAGCACGCTACGAGTTAAAGCTTTAGAAGAAGAAGAAGAAATAAAAGTTACCATACAACATTACGAAAGCAATTCGGAAAATATACCTTGGGTGTTTTGAAAGTAGTGTCGCCAAAGCGGCCTGATTTTGTCCTGGCCTCCGACATCCCATACAGTAAAACTAATGTTCTTGTATTCAACTGTTTCTACGTTGAAACCTAAAAACAAAAAATTTAAACGCCGTTACGTTACTGACATAGAGTAGGAGATAAAATAAATACGATAAAACGACATAATGTGTCTAAAAAACGGAGAGCAGAAGAGCTTACCAATTGTTGGAATGGTAGTGACAATTTCACCAAGCTTCAATTTGTAAAGAATCGTCGTTTTCCCGGCAGCATCAAGACCAACCATGAGAATTCTCATCTCTTTCTTGCCAAAAAGACCAGAGAAAAGTTTAGCGAACACACCTCCCATGATGAGAGTTTGTCGACGGGAGAAAACTCTGACTTAAAAATTTCAAGTACTTCAACGGCGAAAAACGATTCGGCGAGGAAGCGAGGTAGCACAGAGCACCCAAGTTCAACGGAAGGAATGTGCGAGGAAGTTTATAATGACGTTAATGTCGTGTTCGTTAGAGACAAAACTAGAGTGACCATCTTTACCAACAAATCTGTTCCCTAACAAGTTGGAAGATGTCTGGGAACTTGCATCTCGTTTGCTACTCGTTTTATAGTTTAAACTTGCCGACTTTGCAAGATTTCAACCGGTTCTGACTTCCGGGATTCCTTTGTCACGCATCGTTGCAGAATGCTGTATAACCCACTCATTTCCGTCACGCTTACAGTTGCTATCAAAATGGTCACTAAAATCCTCAATAGTTTTCACTCTATGAAATTTTTTTCTCTTCTTGACATGAAATTCATTATTTTCAGTCAGTTGTCAAGTTTTTATCCACATTTTTTTAGAAAACGGCAAACTTTCTTAGCATTTCAGTTTTCAGAGTTTTGTGGGTTGAGGGCAATGTAAGGACCCCCCTTGCCTAGACAATGACGTGGCTTTTCATTTTTAAAAATTTAAGACTACATTTTATGCATTAAAATGCCTCTGGTCAGTCAGAAATGCCAAAGGAGTTTCATCAATTTGAAAACTTAAGCTTAATACTACTACAAGTATATGGACCTGCTGCATTGCAAACTCAAAGGAATTCTTTTGTAGGATTTCTCCGTTTTTCCCACAAAGAAGGTTAGATACTGCAAATGTTAGAAACTTACATTACTTCCTATTTTTCAGCTGAGTGGAAAGCCAATCCAGTCCTTCATATAAACCATCACCACTTGTTGCACACGTTGCTTGAATGTACCATTGACGATTACGTAAGCTGTGCAGGCCTAACTTATCAGTTACTTCAGCAGCATTCATGGCATTGGGCAAATCCTGAAAAACATAATGACACGCTGTATAAAAAAGATTGAATGACACCACCTACACTGTAGAAACCCTGGCCTCTTACCCGCAGAACAGTCAACTGAAATCAAAATTCAATAAAATCACCAAATTTCATTTCGTAAAATGGGTTATTCCAGAAAAAATCCACACTCCCCCAACAGAAGGAATGCTGGAAAATCTCATAGGAGGGGAGTTTAATGGCTCTGGAAATCCAAATAGGAGGGGGATCCTGAAAAACATACATCCTCAAGAGTTACTTTCATCAATGTTTTGATCGATTCAATTGACAAGTTTTGGATAACTGCTTTGCACTTTCAAATTGTATTATTCTTTCAAACTACAGATGTCTCACTTATAAAAATCTATTTTAAGTTTCCATCCATAGGCTCGCCTTTGTTACTTTTGTAGAAGTGACATGCAATACCTTTGATGATTAAAGACATCAAAAACATTGAGGAAAGTCGTATAATTCGTAAAAAAATTGCTCAATTCAAGTAAAGTAAGCAACTTTCCCAAGGTCAATGCTATTTCAGGGTAATAGAATACCACTAAATCATCTTTCTCATGTATAGACCAGGCTTAAAATTCACCATGTTTGTCACATGTTTTCTTTTCTGTGCATTGTATAAAACAAATAGATGCCATGTTACTGTGCATCTGTTCAGTAATAGGCTGATATTTTAGCAACAGGCAGGAACATCAGTTGACGACTGGAAAGCTCGCGGAAAGGATTAAACATGACTTCCAGTGCTCAAGTTGTCACTCTGCCATTGGTCAAGCCAGTTGTCTGATTTGCGCGTGCCGTTGTCAACTGACGTTCCCATTCTGTTGCTAAATCAACCTAACAGAACACAGAAGACGTGGTAAGAGTATCAGTAACACAATTTCCAGCACATGGCTAGTGTGCCACTTTCAGACTTCTTTACACAAATTGACATCATCTGCGCTCTGTTACTGAACAGAAGCACAGCAATATGAAATCTTTTTGAGACCTTCATATTCTAAGATGAGGACAAATAATTATTAATACAAGAACAAGATTTTCTAATACTAAGTAGTGTGCGTGCATGAGCCAGCATCATTTTGGTGGAAAAACATGATAGCTATGTTAGCGAAACTGTTAAAAGGTTTCTCAATTTGCAATTGGGAGAGGGCTTAACCTCCTTCAATAAAACTAACTGTGTGAACTTTTCTGGTAAAAAAAAAAGGTACAATTTATGCAGCTTCCTGGGGATATCTTTTCAGAATATGTGATGAAAGTTTAAGTTAAATCTCATCCCCGTCGTGAATCTGAAGGTCTGTTATTAGGGACCTTAAAATACATCATTTCTGTGTACGGGTATGGGTACGTGTAGCCATTAATGTGGGTAGACTGCCTCTTATCCCAGAGAAACGATTAGGCATCTGGGGAGAAAGGTGATGCTATTATCACATCTGGGAAATCATGATCTCCTTTTGAATAACAACATGGCAAACATGTTCGTCTACACGTACTAACAGGTAGAAACTGTGTTATGTTCGCCTACACGTACCCACAGGTAGAAACTGTGTATCTTAAGGTCCCTACTTTTATAACTGCATAGGGTCGACAGAGGATGGTAAACCTGTGCAGCAATTTTGCTTGCAACCGACTTTTGTCGTATATATTAGTATAAAATTAAGTTAAAAACAAAATTTTTCGACCCGAGCTACCAAAAAACCAAGGTTTTACACCATTTCTGTAGCTATGAATTATTATTCACCTGTTTATTTGCAAAAACAAGGACAACAGCATCCCTGAGTTCATCTTCACTCAACATCTTCACCAATTCGTCTTTCGCCTCAGTGGCCCGCTCTCGATCATTGCTATCCACGACAAAGATTAGACCTATAGAACAGGTTATGAATACAGTTTAAGCACGCTACGAGTTAAAGCTTTAGAAGAAGAAGAAGAAATAAAAGTTACCATACAACATTACGAAAGCAATTCGGAAAATATACCTTGGGTGTTTTGAAAGTAGTGTCGCCAAAGCGGCCTGATTTTGTCCTGGCCTCCGACATCCCATACAGTAAAACTAATGTTCTTGTATTCAACTGTTTCTACGTTGAAACCTAAAAACAAAAAATTTAAACGCCGTTACGTTACTGACATAGAGTAGGAGATAAAATAAATACGATAAAACGACATAATGTGTCTAAAAAACGGAGAGCAGAAGAGCTTACCAATTGTTGGAATGGTAGTGACAATTTCACCAAGCTTCAATTTGTAAAGAATCGTCGTTTTCCCGGCAGCATCAAGACCAACCATGAGAATTCTCATCTCTTTCTTGCCAAAAAGACCAGAGAAAAGTTTAGCGAACACACCTCCCATGATGAGAGTTTGTCGACGGGAGAAAACTCTGACTTAAAAATTTCAAGTACTTCAACGGCGAAAAACGATTCGGCGAGGAAGCGAGGTAGCACAGAGCACCCAAGTTCAACGGAAGGAATGTGCGAGGAAGTTTATAATGACGTTAATGTCGTGTTCGTTAGAGACAAAACTAGAGTGACCATCTTTACCAACAAATCTGTTCCCTAACAAGTTGGAAGATGTCTGGGAACTTGCATCTCGTTTGCTACTCGTTTTATAGTTTAAACTTGCCGACTTTGCAAGATTTCAACCGGTTCTGACTTCCGGGATTCCTTTGTCACGCATCGTTGCAGAATGCTGTATAACCCACTCATTTCCGTCACGCTTACAGTTGCTATCAAAATGGTCACTAAAATCCTCAATAGTTTTCACTCTATGAAATTTTTTTCTCTTCTTGACATGAAATTCATTATTTTCAGTCAGTTGTCAAGTTTTTATCCACATTTTTTTAGAAAACGGCAAACTTTCTTAGCATTTCAGTTTTCAGAGTTTTGTGGGTTGAGGGCAATGTAAGGACCCCCCTTGCCTAGACAATGACGTGGCACATGTGACGCGCCCTTCAGTAGCAACAAGTTTCCTCGACGTGGTTGAATTTTGCCGGCAAGAATTTCGTCATTTACCATTCATAAACCCTCTGCTTAAACCTTGACGTCTTAAGGGTAAAGACTTCTATTACAGAAGAATTTTCCCTCCCTTTTGTGGTGCCTTCTGTAACTACTGACGTACGTTTTCCCGTCTTTTCAGTTCTGGTTGACCGACAAATTTTATTAGACATGGGTGCGTTTGCTAGCTTGTTCAAGGGTCTCTTTGGCAAGAAAGAGATGAGAATTCTCATGGTTGGTCTTGATGCCGCTGGGAAAACAACAATTCTTTACAAGCTGAAGCTTGGTGAAATCGTCACAACTATCCCAACAATTGGTATGCAACCGCTCCGACGGACGCCATTTTAAATTTCTTGTAGCTTTGATACGATGCCTTGATCGATGGTTCGATATGCAGTGTTCTTTTTATTCACTGATCCACGTCAATCGAAATGTACCACTTTCAATTTTTGTTTATAGGTTTTAACGTAGAAACAGTTGAATACAAGAATATCAGTTTTACAGTGTGGGATGTCGGCGGCCAAGACAAAATCAGACCGCTATGGAGGCATTATTTCCAAAACACTCAAGGTACGTAAACTAATTAACTCACTTTTCGGTTTTCTTCTTAAAGCCTGGCTTTCATGTCTAGGGAAAATCCCAGAGGATCCGGGATTTTACTGGAAGAGATATGTCAGGAGGATCAGAGAGTCTGTCCGCTTTACGGTCATTTTGCACCCCCAGGTGGGGTACTCCGGGTTTCAAACGACAGGGATGATCGAATGGGGGCAAAAATCAAATCCCCAAAAAATCTCTAGGGCTTCAAACAAAACCCAAAATCCCTGGACCAAAATTTAACCCCCCCAAGATCTCATGCTGAATTTCCGAAAAAAATTTATCCGCGGAACTACACAGCTGGGATATGTTGGAACTATCAGATCACAAATCTTCAGATTGTTTTGAATATCCCAAAAAAATCCCTACTTAATCAAGCTACCGAAAAAAATACCTGCCAAAATTTCCAACCCGAAAAAATCCTTTGACCATCCTTGTCACTTGAAATCCGGAGTACACATCAATCTCTCAAATGTCAAACTTGACATTCATTGAACTATTATTAGTATTTAGAGTATAAAGATCATGAAAAGTTCGATGCAAGGATCCTCCATTTGGATTAACAGATTTGTATATTAGGGTTGACTTCAAATTTGAAGAGGCGTGACAGTTATCGTACAGCGCTTTTGTCGAGCCCTGCTTTTGTCTTTTGTGGGTCATTTGTGAACAATTGCTAAAAGAATTAAATTACTATGTCGTTACTATGTTGACCAATCAGCTCTTGTTGGCCAGATCCCAGACAATTCTATGTCATGAGTAGGGAATGATTGGGGGCCAAATCGCTTTTGTGTCTCCCGTGAAACATCCCTATGGCCATGAGTGAAGAGAGATGGCTCTGTTTCAAGCTACCTTTTTTATTTATCTGAGGAAAGACTATAGCTAAGAAAAGGAATGATTGCGACGAAGTGAAAACCTTTCTTGCTTCCGTATCCAACATTCCCGAAAGCACAAATTTTAGTTTTCATGTGCCAGGAATGCTCACGGACCATTAACCAANGACACAGACGACAATTATCCCGGTTTTAGGAATGGCAGTAACAGTTAGTCTTTACGCAAAGAATTTCGTTAGGTTTCTTGAGTGAAAACCTTGCCATGTTTGGTAAATAACTAATCGTCGACATTGGGATAATTTGCACGTTGAGGAGAAGAAAAAGAGCCAAAAATCACCGACTGTTGCAGTTACAGACAATGTAAACAATGCAAATTGACATGAAACACACGCAGTTCCGATCGTGCATATCTAATAAAATACTTGCCATGAACACATAAAAATAAAAATATCGACAAGAAATTGTGACTAGTTTGATTGTAATTTGTGGCTTTACAGGCCTGAAAATACGCTTTTTTTATTTTTGTCATGAGCTATTTAAAACGGCTTGAATATGCTGTGAGAAATATTATTTTTTGCGTGGGATCAACTTCCACAAATTTAGCTTGACGTGACCAGGTATTCTCGTTTTTTTCCAGTTCGAAAAGGGGCGAGAAAAAACACAAAACAAAAAAAACAGGTTAGATTTCATTCACCCTCGATGTTTCACGGCATGAAAAAGTGTTCACTCTTAATTTCACGGCGTGAAAGTTTACACCGGTTAAATAATCACGGCGTGGAAGTCTCAACTGATCTTTCCCAACATGATCAGTTTCACACCAAGAGTGAAAAATTCTCGCAAGGAGTGAACGGGCGTGGAATTTGAAATTCACGCCGTGAAAACTCTAATTCACGCACCGTGACCGTGAAAAAAATTCACGGTTTTTAGTGAAATCCATAAGCCCCCTTTTCGCATGAAGGGTCACATTTGGAAACAATTGCTAAAAGAATTAAATTACTATGTCGTTACTATGTTGACCAATCAGCTCTTGTTGGCCAGATCCCAGACAATTCTATGTCATGAGTAGGGAATGATTGGGGGCCGAATCGCTTTTGTGTCTCCCGTGAAACATCCCTATGGCCATGAGTGAAGAGAGATGGCTCTGTTTCAAGCTGCCTTTTTTATTTATCTGAGGAAAGGCTATAGCTAAGAAGTGGAATGATTGCGACGAAGTGAAAACCTTTCTTGCTTCCGTATCCAACATTCCCGAAAGCACAAATTTTAGTTTTCATGTGCCAGGAATGCTCACGGACCATTCACCAAATCTGGAATATATCTGGAAACTGTCAATACTTCTGACTGCCCCAATGCCTTGACCATCCCAGATCACCAGGGATATCTACTAATTTCAGTGTTCATTAGTCAGCAGAAGCTGGAATGGTTGGGAAAAAGTGAAGTTCTCAGTCTGTCTGGGATTAGTCTCATATGAAAACCAGCCAGGTTTCGTTACATTGGGAAAATCCCAGAAATCAACAATTTTGCTGTTTATTAAGGGTTTTGACCGCTATGTTTAGTTGTTCTCTTGCCTGCGACAGCATCATTATGATTTACACTTATTTAAAAGTTGACATTTCGAATGCTGACACTGACATCTTCCTTATCTCATATTTAGGGCTAATCTTTGTTGTGGATAGTAATGATCGTGAACGAGTTGGGGAAGCTAGGGAAGAATTAAACAGGATGCTAAATGAAGATGAACTCAGAGATGCTATTCTTCTTGTTTTTGCAAACAAACAGGTAAAACTGTAAAGAAGAAAATGGAGCAGTTTCTGCATGACAAGTGTGTGCATTGCACATGTATGACTTTTGAACATGAATCATATACACATATGGATAAACATTATTTTACAGAATTTAGGCAATGTATTATTAGCATGAATGTCCCCAAGATTAATGAGTCATTTAAGTTTAATTGCCTTATGCTGACTATTAAAGAAGAAATCTGCAGAGTTGTAGGGATCAAAAACCAAATTGCATTTAAACTTAATAAATAAATCATTGCTTTCAGCTCTCACACACTGTAGCTAAATTGAGTGTCTTCCTTAATTACGTAGATGTATTCCTTTTACTACTTATTTTCTCTATGTTAACAACAAATCACAAAATTTTACCCTTGGGGAGTTCAAATAATTTTGCTTTGTTTACTCACGTGTTTTCTTGAATTCTTATGTGTGACTCACAGTCCTTTGTTATGTATGTTTTTTTCAGGATTTGCCAAATGCCATGAATGCTGCCGAAATTACTGATAAGCTAGGCTTGCACAGCTTACGAAATCGTCAATGGTACATTCAAGCAACTTGTGCAACAAGTGGTGATGGTTTATATGAAGGACTTGACTGGCTTTCTAATCAGCTGAAAAATGCAAAGTAACATAACTGAATCACAATGAAATAATAATAGGTAGAAGGTTACTCTGGCCTTGAAAACTCCAAAGTTCCTTATGTCAAAGAAGAATTACAGTCCTTACTTTATTTTTTGAGCAGATTACATGTATGTTATTTTGTTGGCCTCGGATGTTCAAAAGTTGGATAGTGCCCTTCACTTGGTAAGTCACTACCTAGTGGATAAATAGTGGGACAAACAGTTGCGCTATCCACTGGAAAGAAATTTATCCATTAGATAGCGTTATCCACCTTTTGAAAAACTGGGGCCTGATTTTTGTGTTGTTACTTGGTTTGAGAGTTCACAGCATGAGGCTTTCAAACTTTAGTTTTTTTGTCAGATATGTACAGTACAAGGCAAGGTTCCTTTTAAGCCCCAAAAGTGATTGACATCGATTTTTTTGCTAACATTGTTAATGCATAACCAAGAGGAAAGGTGAAGAGTGTTAATAAAATGGTCGCAAAGAGGAAAAATGCTTTGATCTTTCATTAAAATAATTATCTGAACTAATTCTGTAAGAAAATGTATGGAGAACAGTCTGGAGAATTTGTTTGTGGATGTTGGGACTTAAAAGACACAGTGTTGAGCCACCTTCTGTCATCAGGAGTTAGCCACCAAGTTTAGGTACTGTTTAAAGATCTAGTAGGAGTGTATTTTCAGGTTTAAAAACTCGAGTCTAAACCGAGAATTTTTACACCTGATAATACATGACTGCAAGTCTTCTGAATGGCTTCAAAATCTCTGATATAGATCAACTCATTCTTGGGGTTATATTTATGTTTGGGATTATTTTGGTCTAAAAAATCAGTCAAAAAGTTAAGTCGCGTCTATCAGATTTAAAGACACTCCCATTAAAGATTAACGTCTTTTGTTTTTTCTTTATGAATTATTAATGAGTTTTTGAATGAAATGTAAAGGACCATTTCAGTAACAAAAGCAAATATGTGAGATGGAACAGCTGAAAAAAAAATCAAAAATGCGGCCTGTTAGTTCTTCAGAGTTAACCTTTCAAGTGCCAAGAGTGAGCAACATCAAATTTCTCCTTTTATTATATATTGTAATCACTATCTGTCTTCTCATTGGCTAGGAGCCTACAGTTAATTTCAGAAATCAGCGCAACCTACAGATTAGTAGCAGGTAACTTACTAAACTGTAGGTTGTGCGCACATTCCATTTTTCTAAGAGTAATGTCAAACTGTGTTGCAAGCAGTGCTGTGTTTGTCCTTATTTTGTTCAAAGCAGTGTATAATAAAACAGTTATTACTGGATTCGGGTTTTGTGATATCCTAAATAATCTAGGTCTTGGTAAGTATTTTCAGCCTCGGCCTTCAGCTCAGCTGATAACACTTACCTTAACCATAGTTAGGAGAAAAGGTTAGGATAACTTAAAGGAAAAATGCTTTGATCTTTTTTTTTTTTTTTAAATTTCTCAACCAATTCATTCAATGTATTGAGGCCAGTCTGGAGAATTAATATCTGGGGTTTGTAATTTTTTCATTTTAAGAGATTGTGTCATTTAAAAGCCATTTCTTTGCACAGCCTTACATAATTACTTGGCATCTAGTAATATATTGGCAGACTAAGAAGACAAAGTTTTTTGAAATTTTGTGTGGTTTGCATTTTCTATGTTCCACTTTCTAGCAGCAATAAACTCTTCTGATGACCTAACCCTTTGATAACTGGAGGCACCAAGTGATATCAAGCTATGAGTTATCTCTTGCCACCATAGTTTAGTTGTAGAGGAATTTCCTGAAAACTTCAAGACAATTGACCACTACAGAAAACACTGTAACATACCATAATGTTCTTTGTTTGTCACCCCACAATTTTGCATAAGCATTGTCTTCAGTTTCTTTTGGGAGTTAAAACATGAGCATTATTTTGAAGTTATTCATACAACTCTTTCAAAATTATTGTTGCATGGAGACACAAATGTGAGATTTTCACAGCCGTCCAATGCTGTATGTACAGTACCATAATCACCACGATGAGTGAAAAATCCTGCATTTAGGAATTATGGCTTGATTTTCTTGCCTTAAGTGTAAACACTGGATTATTGCTCCATGTGCTGGGTTATTTTCTAGATTCTCTTTTGTGTATAGCAATTTAGGATAAAAATGATTGAACATTAAATTTACATTATTTTTCAAATGTATTGCAAAGTCATTTTATTATTCTTTGCAAGGAATTAATGATATTGTTTCATGTAAAATCAGATTGAAATCTGAAAAACATTGTAATGTCCATGTACTTGAGATGCCTACCTCAACGTTTTCTGGTTTTTCACACGGCTCTTGAAAATGTTCCAAGTGCTGTAGCTATACTTTCCCCTTGTACCACTCCTGGGAAAACCTTCTTTAGCCGGCGTTTTTCTTGGGGTGAGAGAGAATGGGGCGGGAAGCTCACTTAGCTTGTATGTGCGCCTGAACAAAAGCGCCAGCTAGGCAGGCTAGTAAATGTTTAATTTTTTCAGCGTGTGAATAACATTTCTTTTGCTCACGATTTGCAAAGAAAAAAAATTGCCGCAAAGTTTTGTACACAAAGATTCACTCCACTGAAGTAGAATGCCAACTGGTGTTGTAGAGAAAATGGCATTGTTGATACCAGGGGACACAGGGTATGAAGCACTACTTCAGCCACAAAACGAGGAACAGGAACTGCCTCCCTCAGGCTTTCCCGAGAAGCGCGGGAGCTGGAGACAAGTGAGCTCTCCTCTTCCCAACACCCCTTTCGCCGCCGCTTTCCTTAACAAAGCCCCGTGCAAACGGACGCAACATTATTGACCAACAGCTCCCAACATTGTTGGATGTTACATGTTGCGTCTGTTTGCACACCCTGATGAATGTTGTGGCGTGTTGCTGGGAGTTGTTGCGCAAAGGTTGAAACCGGTCAAACTTTTTACTGCAAACGGAGGCAACAACTCCCAACAGTGTTGCGTCCGTTTGCACGTAGCTTGATAAACGCTTCCTTTAGGTTGTAAAACTTTTATTAGATGCCCCTCTCTACTAAACGCCGCCCGCCCCCCTGCCCCCTGCCCCTGTCTAATAGACGCCCCCTATGAGAATTACTCCAAAATCCTATGAAGCAGCACAGGGCACCCGCACAATGTCTGGGTACCCTGTGATTTACCGTTAGTATTCCCTATAAATCAATATTAAATAAACGTTGAATTACCTTAACTGTGGTATATTGTCGTTCTTTTGCCTCAAAAGCGGTTTTTTGAGCGATTTTGAAGGATTTTGAGTTCGCCGTTTACGTTCCTAATAATAGAAGGACAAGGGAGGAATCCTTGTTTAGAAAGGGCTCTAGCGCCGGAGCGATTTTCCCCCAGAAAATCGCATCGCTCCGCTTTCAAACTTCGCAGCGAAAAGGTTGAAAGATTCACGCTTCTCCTCGTACCTTCCGATCGAAAATCCATCCAAAAGGTCCGGAGCTAGCCCTCGAAGAAAATTAAAATCCCACTGTTAAGCTTTTGAGCAAACTAGAAAAACTACCGTAAAATTCCGAAAATAAGTCCCTCCATGTATAAGCTCCTCCAAATATAAGCCCCCCAAACCAGTAACGCAAAAAACCCTCCGTTAAATCGTCCCTCCAAAAATAAGCCCGCCAAAAAGTATGTACTGCGTAGCTAGCGTTTCCAATCGAGTTATTGCGCGAAAGTTAGAGCGGAAGCGATAAGAAACGGTTTTTTTTGCTCTCTTCCTAACTTTCTCGACGAACTTGCGCGGAAACGCTTGCTACGCAGGCTAGCCAAAAAGGGCCTTTGAAAAATATAAGCCCCGGGACTTATTTTCGGAATTTTACGGTTTCAATGGAAAAAGGGAATAAAGGTATGCGGTTCCAATATTTCGGCTGACAAAATTAGCCTTCATTAGGGCCAGAGCTACACTCTAGTGATAGGCAGAAAAAGACAATAGGCGAAAAGTGCAGTCTTCCAAAAACAACATTAAAAGGGTCGACATACAGTGCTATCGGTATTTTCCTTGAAATTCTTCCATTGTCTTTAAACTTCTAAGCTCAGTTGAACTGAACAGCTTGGTGTTCCTGTGGTACAACCCGTGACTTCTCATATGGCATGCATACCTGAGAGGTCGCCGCCATTTCCTCCGTAACAAGCGTCGGGTTGAACGTCAACTTTACTAGTCATGGGTGCTTTCGCTAGCTTGTTTAAGGGTCTTTTTAGCAAGAAGGAGATGAGGATTCTCATGGTTGGTCTTGATGCCGCCGGGAAAACGACGATTCTTTACAAGTTGAAGCTTGGTGAAATCGTTACAACCATCCCAACAATTGGTAAACTTAAGTTAACGTTATGTTACTCTTCGGGGGTTATTCCACGGATCATGTTATTATATCAGTCATGTAACACGTTTGTCAACTTTTGTTTGCAGGATTTAACGTAGAAACAGTTGAATACAAGAACATTAGTTTTACAGTGTGGGATGTCGGAGGCCAGGACAAAATTAGACCACTTTGGCGACACTACTTCCAAAACACTCAAGGTAGTAAAATATAGTTTACGACCATTATTTCTTTGATTCGCTTTGCACTTTGCATTTAGTAGCTCATGTTTGCGAATTGGCAGATAAGCATTGTTGTATGTTTTGTTTAGGTCTAATATTCGTTGTGGATAGCAACGATCGTGAACGAGTAGCAGAAGCAAGGGAAGAATTAAGCAGAATGTTGAATGAAGATGAACTCAGAGATGCTGTTCTTCTCGTATTTGCCAACAAACAGGTACAAAATTATCATGAAAACACCTAAAACTACAACAAACGATATCATAAGAATGTCGAATCCTGTTCCTTTAATGTTTTATTATATCAAGTGTTTAATGTTCCTCAACTACCCTATTTATTAAAGAGCAAGAGCTTACGAGGGATATTCGTACAAAATTCATTTCCTTTGTCCGGAATTTTTTTTTTAATGGATCTTGTCTTACAGCCAAGTGTTTTCATTAATTACATATGGCAATAAGGAATAAATACATAAGTCATATAAACAATTACTGCTGGTTTGTACATAATGTCACGGCGGCAATGTTGGAGGTCAAGAACAAAAGCATTTCCCTCCCCTGGGAACTAACTCTATTTTCATGTAAATTCTTTGACAAAAAATTATACAGTGAAACCTGTATTAAGCGGACACTGTATTAAGTGGACACCCTCTATTAAGCGGACAGTAGCCGAAGTCCCCAAATGTATTTCCCCTATTTTCTTTAAATGAAACCTTTATTGAGCAGACACCTATTAAGTGGACGTGGATGCCTAAAAAGTACCTGAAATGGTCATTTCTATTGTTTCCAACCTGTATTAAACGGACAGTGTAACTGAATTCCACCAACCAACATGCCAGACACCGGAAATGCGAAAGATTGCCATCCACAAATTTTTCAATGTTTACATTAAAAAACGTGACTTGACGAACTTATTTGATTAGTTTCACAGTACAGTATTGTTTTCTATTTCGTTTTGTTTGTATAGAGCTTGTTTCACTCATCCGATTTCTTCAAATTTGAGTTGCAATCTATGTTTATGGTACTATGATCAATTGATCCACTTAAATAAAGACATTATTGCAAACATATATCGTCATAGTCTCTGGGAGTACAGCTAAACGTTTCCACCGTTCATTTGAATGGCATTTGACACCTCAAATGACTTTATCTATCGAAACCTGTATTAGGCGGACACCCTGTATTAAGCGGACACCACAGCATTCCCCGAGGGTGTCCGCTTAATACAGGTTTCACTGTATTCGTATTGACCCCTTTGTCACATGGTGGCAAGCCAAGAATTATTATATAGTCGAACCTCCATATGTGACCACCTATCCAAAACACCAAAACGTTCCCAGTCAAAGCCTTCCAGTTGGAACCTCTTGTCAACGACCACCTCCCATAGGGAACCGCAAGCATTATCTGGGGCTTATGGTTTAATGATTTTCCACCCTTTTTAACCTCTTGTAAGTGACCACATGATGATTTGTCTGATCTCTTATGTTCGCTGTGTGTACTATGCTACTTTGAATTATATACAAAGAATTTTAGAATCAACATGGAACTCCACATGAAATTGCATGCAATTAATTAGTTACCATAAAGATGATGTGTCCAAACGTCTTCTCAGAAAATACCCCTGTGGTTAGATTCTTGTAAGCGAACACCTGTCATAAGCGACCACTAGGTCTTCGCATCTTAGGTGGTCATTTACAGGAGGTTCGACTGTACTAGTAATGATAATCATACAGACATCAGTATTCTCTCCCCAGTCGCATGCTTAGGGACCCCTCTGCTGGAAAATAGGGGTCCTCAAAGAAACTTCACGGGGACAAAGTTATTCTAATTGGACAGTACAAAATGCAGATTGCAGACGATTGTTTTCAGAGTTAGAAAACAAAGGTGCTATAGTTGTCACGTCCTCATTTGCATGGTGAAAACAATGGTCTGCAGCAGTCTACCATCTGCATTTTATACTGACTGTTATTCTAATCTACTCTACCCTTATCTGTTATCAGTGAACACCAAGAACAAAGAACAAGAGCCCATGCTCTTAATAGTCTGTAGTCAGTGCGCTATGAGTGACCCTAACAATATTTTTGTACAACCTTTTTGGAACAGCGGTAGTATCATTATGCTTACGTTATTTATTTATTTTTTTTTTTTTAGGACTTACCAAATGCAATGAATGCAGCTGAAATAACGGACAAATTAGGCTTGCATAGCTTAAGAAACCGTTTGTGGTACATCCAAGCAACGTGTGCAACAAGCGGAGATGGATTATATGAAGGTCTTGATTGGCTTTCCAATGAGTTGAAAAAGAGAAAAAACTAAAAGTAAAAGTTAGAAAAAGTTTATATGCAACAAGACACATTTGGGAATGGCCATTGGGCTGAAAACAGTGAAAACATTCATTGACACTAAAATAACTGTGGTTGTAGCCTGTTCCAGGGTCTTAGATAGTACTTAGGGATAACGCATAAGTAAAACACACTTGAAAATATGAGTGCGTGATCGGGAAAAAGGGAGCAGTGGCGGGAAAAAGAAAGGATGTGACCTTCCCCGCCCTTCCTCTCCCCAGTTTCCTCCTGTTTTATTTCATGTTTGCGCTTTCTCAATTTCATAGACCCAATTATCTCGGAGCCTGGAACAGGCCATTGTGATTTCTCTCATTATTACTTTCAATTTCATGTATGTAAGCCATCCATTTTCTTACATTGTACGTAGAGATTGTTCTGTTTGGCTTTTGTGACGCACTGTACTTGTGGACAATTTATTTCAAAAAGATCGAATGGATGTTTATGTGATGTTGAGTAAAAATAATTATTCAAAACCAGTTTTGGGCAATCTTTCAACTCTTAAGAACATTTGGTTCATTGCAGTGTTGTGAGAGTGTTAAAGCTAATGTGTAAACCATTTTAAATATGCCTTGTGCCTTCCATTCCTGCTTAACATCATGAATGCAGTTTTGTCAAGTTCCTTATGTTCCATTCACACCAAGTAATCATGTTTAGTTGAATGAAATTTTGAAAAATAGTAACTGACCGCAACAGAAAACTAGTCATTAAAAGTACAGTACACAGCTGTTATAAACAGAAGAAATTTAAACCTTGTTTAACCAAAGTGCTTTTAAACATTGTTGGTGTGAATGGAGCTGACAAAAATAATGACATGACTGTTTTCTTACACTATGGTAATTACTCATAAGAGTGCTGCTGAGTGAGTGCTGCATGTCGGATCATAAACTAATTATGAGAAGATTAATTATGGTTCCATCCCCCTAGCTACAATATGGTGTTCATTGATTTTAATCACAGTTTATGCTAAAATGTAACATAGTTGTTGCCATTGCTATTACCATCATCTATTTTCTGTGGAAAGGGACATATTTAGACCTTAAATAGTAACTTTCTTCCTTAATCAATGCTACTGTTTTTGAATAAAGTAAAGAAAAGAGGGAAAAATGTATAATATTGTGTTATTTGTAAAAATGAATTAATAATGAAATGTTTTAAGTGAGCATCTTCCCTTACTAGATGCTGCCCCCACTGACCAGATGAGAAATACGGTAAAAAGTGATGACTAAGAACCTGGGCCAAGTTGTTCAAGGGTTAGCTCGAAATTTGAATTCAGATATGAAAGCAAATTCAGTTTAATTCTTTTTGTCAATAATTTGATGATTTACTACTCTAAAGAGAATAGGGAAAATTGTCTGAGAAAATGCTTTTGATGAAAAGAATATGAGAACCGGGTTAAAATTTAACCCTGGGTTAGTGCTAATCAACCTTCGAACAACTGGGCCCTGGTTATTAAGAACCTGCTAGACTAAAATTTAAAACAGGTTCTTATTTTTTTATGTCTATAAAACAATTTTTTTGTAGACATTTATAGAAAATAAGAACCTGCACCCTTAGGCAAATAAGATAAGTCAACATTCAAAATCCTCTTTGGAAACATAGGTGTCTCATCACTCCAAACTCTGTAATGGTATACAGGTTTTACCAAAAGGATGAGCTATATACCACTAAATACTCTTAGCTACAATGTAATTTTGTTTTCTTCAGAAAATAAGAACTGAGTATTTACGAACCTAAATAGCCCAATTTTGTGGCTAGCTTGAGAAAATGCAGGTTCTTAGTCACAGGTTTTTACTGTGTTAATATTATTTTGATAATGGCACTGTGTTTAGTACGGTGCAACCCCGCCTTATAGCCACCTCGGTAATACGGTCACCTCATTATTATGGCCACTTTTTTTCGGCCCGGCAACACTGCCATACATTTCCTTATGAAAAAACCCTGTTAGTGTGGTCACCCGTTCATACAGCCAACTGCCACATTTTAAAATCCCAAGCAGTAGAATCTCTAAGAATTTCACCCTACGGCTACTTGTTCGAAAGTCAGAAAATTAAAATGCCCGTGACATGTCAATTTTATTATTGTCCTAGTGGTGTGAGCCTGTTCTTGTACTGTTTTTAAACTGAAGTGCATTTTAAAAGTGTTTTATATACTGAAGGGAAATTTTAAGTAGTTTTTTTTTATTACTGTACTTGATATCTACATTCCGGTTGTTTATTATTGAGAACAGTTGTTCACGAAATGCGAATGTGCTGTACGGTGTATTTGTCATTTCGGCCCTCATATTCATGAAATTCGAACCCGCCCCAATAATATGGCCACCCTGTTAATACTGCCAAATTTTTTTGAACCATTGGTGACCGTATTAATGGGGTTCCACTGTAGACACTGTACTTTTGATGTATTGTAGTACAGTGAACTCGCTAAGACACACATTACTTGACGTGAGCCTGCTCGTAGGCTAAATCATCCGAGTAATCTCGAATCACTGATCCCGATCCAGAACATCCCAATGGAATGCCGTCTTTCTTCCCGTAGACTTCACCCTATAATGGCTTTTTCCGGGAGGGTCTGTCCGAAATGGGTATCTCTAATAAGACTTTAGGTGTATGAAAGAGTAATGAATGGGTAGGCGATTTTACTAGTTGCCGTGTACTGGAAAGGGTAGGTAAATCTGCCATTTCGTTGTGTAACTAAAAGGGATAACAGACGCATTAATTATTTTGATGGGTGGGAAGGAGACAAGAAAACGTCCTGGTTTTGTGGTTTATTCATATCAAAAAGACGGTACATTTACAGCAGATTAAAAGGGATTCATTGTTCTAAAGTAGGTGTGTGAAAGGGGTGTTGGTATATGAAAGGATAAAGGGTAAAGGAACTGGACCGTCGAGCGCGGATGAAGAAAAATAAAAAAACAGCGAGCGAGCTCGCCGATGTTTTTGAAAAGAACCAAAAGAAAACTAAAGTAACGTCTGGGTACAGGCTACCCTGCGAGAGCATCCGTTTTTTTTGCCTGTAGTTTCACCCGCCAAGAGGGAGAGAAGCGACGACCGGAAATACGTCTGCGGCTCGCAGGCTATGTACAGGCTAACCTCGGGATACCGTGGGTGGCAGAGACTTTTCTAGCGTAGACTGCGAGTAGTCCCCATTTTTCCTCAGGGATAGTAGAGCGAGCGAAACGCGAGCGCGCGTGAAAATCACCCCACGCTAGAAAAGGCTCTACTATCCCTGAGGAAAAATGGGGACTACTCGTAGTCTATTTCTAGCGCGGTTTCCGGTTTCTGTCAAGTCTTTACAGTGACCCGCGCGAAAAGCCTACGGCCGAAGATGTGTCGGCCTTCGGCCAACACCGAAAATTCCCGCCGCACGCGAGAAAAACCTCTGGTACCCAGGGTAACCTCGGGAGGGAGCCTCCCTAAAAAAGAATTCGTTGAGTACCCCTACCCCTCCCTGCCCTGCTCTTGGGGTGTGGAAATAGGAACTGAAATGGTGGATTCTGGGGGATTTGTACAGCCCCCGAAATTATCCCGACCCCGAAATGATCCCTAATCGGGGATGGGGATCATTTCGGGATCGGGATCATTTGAGGGGCTGTACAGATAGCCTGCGTAGCAGGCGTCGAAAGGGGTACTAGGGGATAGGGGATAGGGTATAGGGAGGAAGGGACCCTCCCCCCCCCTTTTTGCGCCTGCCACGCAGGCTACTGTACAGGGGGCGGAGAAAGGGTCCTGGTGAACGCGCGCGGCGCCGGCACATCCATAGAAATCAAATGTCGCGTATATTTAGTGTTTTCAGTTCTTCTAAATCTAGACTGTTCAAGTCTTTGGATTCACGACAACTTGTCACAGTACAGGAAATAAAGACATTCCAAGAGCAAGGGGTCGTGTGCGTCAGGGGAGCATTCAGAGAATGGGTCGACAAGCTGAAGAAAGGCGTTGGTGCGAATCATGCGAACCCCAGTAAAGATGGCGAATGGCTGAAAAGCGAGGATTCACAGACGTTCTACTTCAATGATTATTTCAACTGGCGTCGGATCCCAGAGTTTGAGGAATTTGTACGTTCGTCACCAGCTGCAGAAATTGCCGGCAAACTGATGATGTCTGAGGTTTGTTTCATCCACTAAGAGAACAAAAGTAGAACACGTGGGTGGAAAAAAGTTAAGAGTTGGGGGACATTTAGTTATAATCAGCCGTGTGTATTTTCTTTTTTAATCAAAGCCTGATTAATTTTCATATCCGTTTCATCAGAAATAGTGGAGACCAGAGGGATAAAGCCAAACAGTATACAGGATGTCAAGGCAAAAAAATTAATGGGAAATTATTAAAGGATGGAAGAACCCGTCCCCCCCCACCCCCTCCCGTTTGCAGTCTGCAGATTATCCCCTCCCTGTTTTTATCTGAGGGAAGGGGGTAGATTTACACAGATTTCCTATTGTATACCTACAAACCATCTTGTATTTATAAGTAAAAAAAAGTGCGTCATAAACCTTCAGATGGAAAACTTCTACCACACACATACTGTACAATTTTACACAGGTAACGCACAATTACAAAAACAAAGGCAACTAATAAGGTTATCTCATCAAGATCTCACGATACTATTCGTCAATAATCTTGCAAAGGTCTATGTGTGTGATCGATCTTGGCAAGATGGTGCCAGGATTTCGTGCTTCACATTGCTACATATTTTGGCAACCCTAGGAAATCATTATAGCATCTTCGGGAATCTTCGGTAATGTTTGTAACTTTTTATGACCTCTTTCATTTTGCATACAGAATTAAGGAGTTTTTCAAACTAACATCACCTAATTAGATTTTATGGAAAAAAAAGTGTGGGTAATGTAAACCGCTCATTGTCAACCTTCGGTTCAAAAGGACACCCTGTTCAAGATGCATAATAGTGAAATTGTCTAGTTACCCTGTTAAAGAAGTAAGACCCCTAACAACCATACCCTTTTTAGTGGCAAATACCCGTTTAGGCCAGTTTTTCATGGCCGCGGCAGTTGTGGATCTATCACGAAGGTTCTTCTGTACTCATGTTCATTTGCAAATTCAATTTGAGGGTGATTGTATATGTTGTGGTTCAATTTTATCCTTGATTTAAATTTTATTTTTCTTTGTTTCAAACACATTGTTATACATAACCATACCCACAGAACAAAGGAGAGTAAAAGGATAAAATTGAACCACAAAATATATCTGTCTGCTCTGTCAGAAAGTTTTTTTTTTTTCATGATCCTCTCTTCAGTTTGCAGTGTTCTATCATGAACATGTGTTCACTAAAGATCCCGGCACAACTCGTGGGACACCATGGCACCAAGATCAACCATACTACCCTGTAAATGGATGGAAGGTAATTATTAAGTTCTAAGTAAAAGTTCTCTTCTATTTCACACTTTCCCCACCCGCACTTGGTCAGTGAAAATTCTTAGAGATTGCAATGCTCGAAGAAAGTCCTGTCTGTTTTTCCGCGACAATTAGATTTTTTTTCACCTCCGTCAACACTAACAGTCCTCTCAGGAAACATAGGCTTTCTTCAGTGGGTTCAAAAGGTCTCATCTGTAGGTTGTAACTGGTTGATTTTGATCCCTGTTATTGATTTTTTTTTTATGATAATTATGATTGACAACTAACTTTCTCAAATGTATTGTTATTTTCCTGTCATCGGATTGGTCCAATTTGGCTAGGTGGCTCCCGTTAGAGTAGTCACACTGTAAAAAAATGTTCATTTTATCCACAGAACTGTTCATTATGGCTGCCACTGACTCCTGTTTCTAAAGTCTCCTGTTTGAAATATGTTGGTGGGTCTCACAAATGGGGAAAGTGGTTCATTCCCAGGAAATTTGCCTCCTCCAAAAATTACAACTATGACAATGCCAACACTAGAAGCAAACAAGAAACTTTTGATGATATCCCAAACATAGATGGAGAACCAGACAAGTATGAACTGTTCTCATGGGATTTGCAGGTACTGGTGAATTTTTAACTGAATTTACTGCCAAAACTGTTAGAGAGTTTAAGCTTCACATATACGGCAAACGGCAAACGGCAGATTCAAGTTGAGAATTTCTCAAAATAGAAAACAAGCAGATAAAAACAGCTCAGAAAATTCATATGGATAAAAAATTGCATAAAATGACTAATTTATGTGTAGAAGTAATGAACAGAAACTACCACTACCACTTCCACTACCACTACCAATACCACTATTTCTACCACTAGCACTACTACCACCCACTACCACTAGCACTACTACTATTTCCACCACTACAATGTACCAATACCACTATTTCTACCAATACCACTATTTCTACCACTACCACTACCACTACCACTGCCACTACCACTATCACTTCGACTACCACCACTACAGAGTGTATAGGGAGTACTGCCACCACTACCACTGCTACTACCATTAACACCACTCCTTGGCCTGCGATAGAATTTAAGCTTACATCAAATTGAGCAGTTGCTTTCCTGCCTCCACCACTGCATCATCAATCAGTACCCTTGGTGAGGCTATGGCAGATTGACCAAGTTATGTTTATCCCTGGCTTTACAGGAAACTGTATTCAAGAGACAGTCAATTATGTTTTTACCCTCTAAGCCAAAAAGAACTTGTGGACTACAACCAGTCGCAAAAATGTTGAGACACTCTCACGTGGGGGATGGAACGTAAGAAGCATGACTGAAGGGAGCATGAGGAATGATGGGAAGCGGGAAATGAATGGAGAGGATACAGATTCTTCCAGTCATCTCCCCTCTTTCTCCTTGCCATCACTGCTCATGTTTCCCTTAGTGTCTTGAAATCACTGCTAGTCATGTATCTGTGAGATACAACACTCACCCACTCCCCTCCCTGTATTCAAAGTTGTTCCCCTGAGGTTTGAACATCATCTCAAATTGCTAGCACCTTTGATAAGAGGGGAGGGGAAATCACTAGAACAAGATCATGAGCAGGCCATTTAAGCCCAACAATTTAATTTAAGGCGCACTGTCTCACAAATGTTTTTGCTTTTGTTTAGTTTTGAAAAAAATTTCATTAACTGTTCAAAATTTATTTTCTTAATTTGTATTATTTTCTTAGCCTGGTGATTGCATAGCTTTTCACATGCTCACTCTTCATGGAGCCAAACAAACCACTGACACAGCTGGACGACAAGTGGTTGCCACTCGCTGGCTGGGAGAAGATGCAACATTTGCCGCTAGACCCTGGGAAACCTCTCCGAGCTACACTGGAGGATTAAAACCTGGAGATGCTTTCCATACCAGTGACACTTTTCCAATTATGTGGAGATCAGAACAGTGAATGGACAGAAACTCAAAATTAAAATTATTAATTAGGGTGATAGGGCTAAGTGGAGCCCTGACTCATCACCGCTACTGGCTGGGAGAAGATGAAACATTTGCCACTAGGCCCTGGGAGACCTCACTGAGCTACATTGGAGGATTTAAAGCTGGAGATGCTTTCCACACTAGCGACACTTTTCCAATTATGTGGAGATCAGAACTGTGAATGGACAGAATCACAAAATAAATTATTGTAATATGGGTTACAGGATTAAGTAAAGTCCTAACTCATCCACACTCACTGGCTGGGAGAAGAAGATGCAACATTCACCACCAGGCCTTGGGAGACCTCACCAAGCTACACTGGAGGAGTAAAACCTGGAGATGCTTTCCAAACAAGCAACACTTTTCCAGTAATGCGGAGATAAGAACATTGAATGGACAGAATACAAAATTATAATATTATTAATTAGGCTAACACAGATGTAGGACTAAGTGGAGTCCTGAATCATCCCCAGTAGTCTCTAATTGGATGCGGGAATCACACACGAAAGATGGAACGCCACAAGCATGACCAAAGGGAGCATGAAGGATGATAGGAAGGGGAAAAATGAATGCAGAGGATATAGAATCTGTCAGTCATCTCCCGTCCTTCCCCTTCCCATTGCTGCTCATGCTCCCCTTGACCCCACAGTCTTAATAAGAAACTAAGAGAAGTGTAGAGATGAGTCAGCATTCAGTCTGTAATCATAGAAGTGATTAATAAAGTTGGACGATCAAATAGTGGGAGTTTGATTTGTTTAATCATGAATGTAATTACAGACTGAATTGGATGACACAAAGCTCTGTTATCAATTAATTATTGTTACTATAACAAAATTTGTGATGATTTAGGCTTTTTTAATTAATCCATAAGATACTCAAAGAGTTTTAAGCTAGAAGTGTTGAGTCAACATGGTACCAGTAAGAGGTAAATTTCATTAGTCATGGTCAATATTATATTTGCCTTAAAATTTGACCCAAGCACAAGGTAAAGATGGCTGGCTATTGGCCAAGTTCTTGTTTGCTTTTTTATGGACTAAGACAAAGTTAAGGTCAATAAAAATAAAAACAAAAAACAAAAAAAACAAAACATGAACATGGGTAACATCCAGCTACCTTGACCAAACAAGCTTGGTCAATATAGGATTTATTATATGGCCAAAAAGAGAAATTTTTCTTGCGGAGCCAAAGCAGGAAATCCCAAGCGGGCAGCCAAGGTAGCTAATCAAAACACAGGATTCGGCCTTACACTAGAGAAAATTTTACTCGTAAGATCATGAAAATGGAATTGAGTAAACTTTCAGTAGACAAAAACCTTGTACCAGAATAATTTAAACAATATCACCTTTTTGTACATTTTTCAAGGGCTATAGATGTAATAATACCAAAGACTATTTCTTATGGGAGCCCGAGAAAATAAATGTTAATTTTCACAAGAATTGTGAAAACACAGGTAAAATTCTAAAAATTTCGTGTGAAAAATGTCTTTTTTATTAAATTTCACTTTTATTTTCTCAGGCTCTGGTTAGGAATTTTCTTTGGTGTTATTACAGACAATTAAAATTACTCAATTTCCTGATGGATTCATTCTTAATACACATTGCCTTAAGGCAACCTCTTCTTGGTTAAAACATATGTTCGTATTAATAGACTGCTTGCAGTCCACCTTTTTCTTAGATCTGTCAAGTTCTTAAACGGTGAGTGCATAGCCAGACAAGAAATGAGAAAAGAGAGATTTCTCCCTCTTCAGGCTTGCACCCTTGTATCTCACAGCTTGCACGTGGCATCACCATACTAAGCGACTAAATGAAGAAAATAAGAGACTGTTTCCAGTCTTTTTCGTTACAGTTCATGTGAATCAGACAAGTTTATGAAATTAACAACAGATAACAGATATTAATGATATATATGTCTGGTTTGAAGTGTTTTAAACCTGCACGCACAGCTAAAGAGAGTTGAGTGGTAGCTACCACTACCAGAATCCTTGAACAGGGTATTGTTTTCTTGTGCAAATTAGGGCTTTTGTCATTTTTAAATGCCTAATGGTTTAAATTCATACTTTCTTTTTTCTTTCCTTAAGACCAGAATCATCATTTTTGTACAGTAACACGTTTGCCGGATAAATTTGACATGAAATTTGTTTTATTTTATAAGTTTTACTAGTAGTGTGTTATTCATTCTGTATCATGCCTCTGTCTTCTTTCTTTTGGCCTTTCATCTATTCTATGCTTACTGCCAGCTTTCCCAGAATAGCCTTCAGTTGATGGATCAAAACGCTTTTTAGAATACTTCCCTTTTTCATCCGATGATTCACTTTCTGAAGAGTCATGCCTCTTGCGTTTAGAGTTCTTTTTGTGTTCACTATGATTGTGTGATCTTTTCCTTTCATATTTAGCATTTTTATTATCAAATTTGTCAAGTTCATCATGATCGTGTTTTCTTTTCCTTCTTTTGGATTCTTTGATTTCATCGTCACTGTACTGCTTTTTCTTGTGCTTCTTGTCCTTTTTGGATTTCTTCTCCTTTTTATCTTTCTTTCTCTTGGTTTTATCTTTGCCTCTTTGAATTTCCTCCTTTTCATTAATTTTACTTCCCTGGACTGGAATATCTACCTGTAGTAAAAAAAAAATAATGATATATGACTGGATTTGACTGACAATAAACAACCATTAAAGTAAGGCAAAAAATAGATTGAATCGCACCTGAACCACATCTTCAAAAACAAGACATAAAAAGCAAATAACGTTATGGCTTAACCGAAAGATGACCAATAGCATTGTGGTCAATAACCATAGTTTTATTAATACCAACACTGTTTCCTGCCCTATAACCACCACTTTAGCAAGTTGTAGGACAGGAAACAGTAAGAAAACAACAAAGACACAACTTTTCATGAGGTATGTATACTTTTATAGCTGTTTTTGTACATTTTAATCATTTTATCGATCTTAAGATAAATTTCCATACAAGTCCTTAAAATTTGGCTGCCAGTATGGCTGTTGTGATTCTAGGTGCCCTGTGCTTTCAACAACAGTCCTATTCAGGACTACGTTGACCCAGATGGTCATATTCCACCTACTTATGAAATGATTCCTGTGTTCAAACCTCTAACCATGAAATATTATTATTTAATTCATAAGAAATTTATGTCTAATCAATTTTATTTACATTATTATTATACCCATAATTACATTTTTCAATCAAAACCATTTCAGAGATAAGTAAGATTGGTTGATCCTATTTGATTATACAGTTATTATAATTAAATAAACTGTTTACCTCCTGTGTACCAGTAGCTCCAAGTGTTTCTTTAACTGGTGCAGATGCAACATCCATAAGCCTAGCTCTTGAGCTGTTGAAAAAAATTTGTAGGCTGAGAGACAGTCATTCATGCCATATGCTTAAAATGAGAGTGGTGTTTCTTTTTTTCTGTTTCTCTTCTATTTTTCTCTTCTATGGCCAGAACTACCCAAAACCTAACCACAATTGAAGAATTGTTATAGAAAGGAGCACTCATAAAACTCATCAACAGAGAGCATGGGGAGAGGTACCTGTGAAGTTGGTGGAGCCCCATACTGCTTGATGCATAATGGATAACCCTGACAACCCCGAGAATGGCTTTCACCCAGGTACTGTCACACTGTTTAAAAGTGGAATCTAACATATTTTAATACCATACACTAGGGAAGGGTAGGGAGTAGAAAAACACTTTGCAAGTACAAGCCACAACATGCAGGGAACAACACACGGAAATAATGGCCTGACCTCAAGTGAAAGGATGTAAAAATAACCCATGAGCCCCTGTGACATGATTAGGGCAACCCAGCAAATCTCCTGTGAGTGAGTGCTGGCTAGCCATGTCCTGAGTTAAACTAAGCCTAAATTTCATTTTTAGCCAGATAAAAATAACTGTTTTGATAGCAGACCATCAGTGACACACTATTGAACAATACTTATTATTGCTGCACTTTATAGAGAAGACTTACGATCGTTGTAATAACAAAAACTCTGTGACCCTGTTATTCTTTACATGTAACAGGGGACAACGTCGCGATCAAAATTTGCTTGGTTACTTTAAATAAAAAAATTACGATTTATTAAGAAACTTTAACCACATTATGTAGCTTAGGGCCAACACAACAAATGGCTTAAAAACTCAGTTCCAGCTTAATTGGCCTTTGGACAAGACTAGTAGCTCTTTCATTTGCTTGTTTGTCTTGCTCACTGATATTTTAATTGCAAGATGCCTTGCTGGACCCTAACCCACCAGGCAAGTGAGCTTACAAAGTTAGTTGCCGAGCAAGGTAATCTGCTTGTCCCAAACAACCGAATGGGGTGTTTATTTTTAGCCCTGATAACAGAGTTTGGCTCCTACAAGTCATTATTTTTAAATACCTTCCAAAACCCATGCCTTCCACTCTCTCAATGTCCATAGAGTCACGCTCTAACTGGCCTTTACGACAAACTTCAGCCAGCTCCTAACAAAAAAGAAAAGCATGTGTAATTATTCCTTTTTCTGCCACTTTGTAAAATGATAATATTATTGTACCTTGTTGGTATTTGCTGGGATACATGAACAGGAGATATCTCAGCAAGCTCCGCTGAGCTTTTCAGAGAGGATCCCTGACTTAAACTTAAATGATTAATTGATTAAATAAAACATACAATGGCAATTTGCAACATACAATGGCAATTTGCAACATCTTTATGAAATGATTATGACAAAATAAGTGTATTTATTGCAGGATAGTAAAAATCCATTCCTAGATTGTGTATTGATCATATCCATATGTTAATTTGCACCCACTAAGCAATAAATAATTATTCTGATTAATTATTATTATTAGTTAAAATTTAATTGTAATTAAATAAAAAGGGGAGTTCCTCACCTGTTTAGAAACTCCACTTGCTTTTTTCTTGACATTTCCCTTCCCTCTGCAACACCAAAAGATTAATTTTTGGGAGGGTGGTCAAATGCTTTACTTACTAACACTATCTTGTCTAGCACTTAATATGCACATTTCAGACCTTTTCTTTGATCAATATCATGCATCAAGACTTGTGCACGATTCAATTCAATTCTTTATTTCTCACTACATAAGATATTTACACAAGTGTACGTAGGTAGGAAAATAAAGTAGCTGATAAATAATAATTATTAACTAAAAGACATTAAGTTCATTTGCATACAGTGTCCAAATTAAAATAGCACGAGCTTTCCTGTTGGACACCGTCAAGTTCAGATAATCGTCAGCAGTAAAGAGAGGAATAAAATCTCAGATAATATCAGTGATAGAACTTATAAGCAAGGTCAGATTTGGTTGGTTAGAAGATAAGACCTCCATTCTTTCTTAAACCGCCATGCCTTACATAATGATTTTCCTGTATAAACTATAGCTTGTAACCTTCCAACTAGATGCAATTCAAACTCTCAAAAGTTGCACCTTGGGAAAGGATTGAGGAAAGTGGCCATTATAGAGAAGCGTCACTATGGCGAGGTATGGGAGAGGATAAAAATTTTCTTGGCAACTGGGATGCACTTTATTGGCAGCTGCTACTATTGTGAAGAGGTGGCCATAAAGAGAGGTTAGCGCTTTAAGTTCTAAGGGTAATCAACATCACTTTTCTCCTACTAATGCTGCATTTCTTTACTATAGTCAAAAAACAAATTTTTGATCCAAATGATCCACAACGGAGGTGGACAATTCTTTGGATCATATCCAAAACGGGATACTTTGGATACATGATCCCAAAGCATTTCTTTACTACGGATCCAAAAGAGTGAATATTGCCAGCGGTAACGCAAAACAATTTTAAAAGATACATCAGCTATTTGACAACACTGCTCATCTTTAAGGCCATTTTTGAGCATGAGGCATGGATTGAACGATGAATTTTATCCGCTTTATTGGGGTGGTAAATTTTGCAATACAAACAGAACCTGCATTGTTCTAGTTGACAAGGACAAAACTACACTAACACAACTTTGCTGATGTCTCTAAGTTGTAAGACTTTACTTTTCCACATTATCTTATTTGAAGACTGGTCTTCACTTGGCCCACCTAAAGCAGTATCCTAAAGCTAACCGTCAAGAATACAATGAAAGATCAGCAAACTTGCAACATTGTCAGCAGTCTTCTTAGTCTTTCTTGGGCTACCATCAGAATTCATCCCAAAAATAATATAATTCAACACCAAACCGACTAAATTCCCCATTACACATGCTTTGTGCTTACCTTTGCGTGCCTCAAAAATGCAAAAAATAACACCTGTTCTGCAGGCTATTCTCAAGCACAACCTTCTTTTTTTCCTTTATTAACATTAGTCTGTGAATTGTGAAATAGGTTTATTCTTTTTGTCTCATCTACCATCATCATAAGAGAGCAAACTATTTATTTCCAGGGATATAATCATGACCAAGTCCCAAACGATCACATTCCCAATGCAACTTCAAAATATTTTTGCACAAAAATGTTTTGATGGTCTTTTGTTTACTCACAGAGCTATAGCCAAAGCTTCCGCCTCCATTTTCTTTATAGCATCTTTTTCCTGACATTTAAAAGACAATAAATTAACATTCTAACATAAATTTATTCAAAATCTCTTGCTAAGAAATACAAAGCTCAGGTGATCAATAATGCCTGGGAAATATTTTTGGGCTGGGGGTGGGGGTGGAGGGACTATGATAAGGCAGCATGACTGAAATAATCAAGATTCTTGCATTTTCTTATTTTGTACCAAAAATGTGTACAGCATAAAAGAAAGAGGCTCCATCCTTAAATTAATCAACAGTGAAAGCGGAACTCTACATGCACACAAAGCATGCGTGAGCCAAGCCCCATACCTAAGAAAATTTGGTAATCTATCCATCCACACTACAGAGCAACCAATGTAAAATGTCAAACTTTTTGCTAGTGTAGGAGCCTGTAACCTGTGTTTAACTTGACAATGGACATCAAAACAAGGTATCTGCTTACCAAAGTCTCATGACCACATCACAGGCCAGCTCAGGTACCAACCCATCAAGGTCACATGTGTTTTTTTAATTTTCTGTTGACCAGTTATTAGCTTTTAGTTGATCGCAGGCTAAAGTTTATGTTTTTCACTCCCATAACGTTAAGTATAGATTTATGGATTTCTTTGCACTGGTTTCAAGTCCATTGTCTGAGGTAAATTTAAAATGCATAAATGGTAGCAATCGCTTGAAGCTCTGGCTAAATCTATGAATTAACTTTGGTTGTAATACAGAATTTACGTTACCTGTTGCTTGGAAATTGCAGAGTCTGCTTTACCACCCTTTGTATACCTGTAAATAAGTGTATAACTGATTAAAATTTATCTGATTTCAAAACTAGACTGTTAATGGCAGATAATGAAAAATAAGTTGTCGTGAATGGTCTTAAGACCTGGAACGAAGAAAAATTCAATGCTTAGAAAAAAAAAAGATTTACCAGTGAAGATCCTTTCCCTTTTGCCATCTTCCCACTGGGGCTTTGACTGAGTGACCTAGTGAATGCACACAAAAAACGTTAATGTTATAGAACTNCTTGTTCTGGACTTCCAGCTGTGTACCCAGATTTGAGTACGCACCACAATTGGCCAGTTAAAAAAGGCCTTTGTTTTGTTTGTCGTGATCGCCAATCAGGTTGAAGGGAAATTCGAAACGCACTTCCGGTAATTCGTTGAGTCCGTTGGGGGTCCAGAACAAGGATCTCTGCGCTGCTTCGCAGACAGTACTAATCAGAGTTTAGTTATCGTCTGCACGCAGGCTACATTAGTCTGTGAATTGTGAAATAGGTTTATTCTTTTTGTCTCATCTACCATGATCATAAGAGAGCAAACTATTTATTTCCAGGGATAAAATCATGACCAAGTTCCAAATGATCACATTCCCAATGCAACTTCAAAATATTTTTGCACAAAAATGTTTTGATGGTCTTTTGTTTACTCACAGAGCTATAGCCAAAGCTTCTGCCTCCATTTTCTTTATAGCATCTTTCTCCTGAAATTTAAAAGACAATATTCCAACATAAATTTATTCAAAACCTTCTGCTAAGAAATACAATTAAGTCCAGGTGATCAATAATGCCTGAGAAATATTTTGGGGCTGGGGGTGGGGGTGGGGGTGGAGGGTCTATGATGAGGCAGCACGACTGAAATAATCAAGATTCTCAGATTTTCTTATTTTGTACCAAAAATTTGGACAGTATAAAAGAAAGAGGCTCCATCCTTAAATTAATCAACAGTGAAAGCAGAACCCTACGTGCGCGCAAAGCATGTATGAGCTAAGCCCCATACCTAAGAAAATTTGGTAATCTATCCATCTGCACCACAGGCTAACCAATGTGAAATGTCAAACTTCTTGCTAGTGTGGGAGCCTGTAACTTGTGTTTAACTTGACAATGGACATCAAAACAAGGTATCTGCTGACCAAAGTCTCATGACCACATCACAGGCTGGCTCAGGTACCAACCCATCAAGGTCACGTGTTTTTTTTAATTTTCTCTTGACTAGTTATTAGCTTTTAGTTGATCACAGGCTGAAGTTTATGTTTTTCACTCCCATAACGTTAAGTTTAGATTTATGGATTTCTTTGCACTGGTTTCAAGTCCATTATCTGAGGTAAATTTAAAATGCATTAAAGGGAGCTTCACTTTAAGCTCTGGCTAAATCTACGAATTTAACGTTGGTTGTAATACAGAATTTACCTCACCTGTTGCTTGGAAATTGCAGAGTCTGCTTTACCACCCTTTGTATACCTGTAAATAAGTGTATAACTGATTAAAATTTAGCTGATTTTAAAACTAGACTGTTTATGGCAGATAATGAAAAATAAGTTGTCGTGAATAGTCTTAAGACAAGGAATGAAGAAAAATTCAATGCTTAGAAAAAAAAAAAGATTTACCAGTGAAGATCCTTTCCCTTTTGCCATCTTCCCACTGGGGCTTTGACTGAGTGACCTAGTGAATGCACACAAAAAACGTTAATGTTATAGAACTTAGAGTCAAGCAGTACCCCACCCAAAAATTCCAATAAGCAACCCCCCTAAATAAGCAAAATGAACATTTCTTGCAGTTGCATTAGCTATATTTGCATTGTGTTGTGACAAATGTGGCAATGGAAAAGGGCCATTTTTTAAGCAGATATATAACAGAAGCTCGCAGAATGATACCAGAAAATGCATTTATCATGAGGATAAAGTTGGAAAGGAAAGGTAAGACTAAGGGTATGGCAGGTTTTCAGCAGACATAACTGTAGTCATGCTGGTGAACAAGATCAAAAGCATTTCCCTCTGCTGCGAAATAAACTCCTTTTCTACCAAGTGGTTGAAAAAAATATTTATTATTCTGCATCTTTTCAACAGGTCCTCTTAGTGAGGGATTTATACCTGTAGGCTGAATTTCAAAACCGGACATTTTGCTTACTGTGGAGGACATGTCCTTGACAGTATTTTACTATTGTATTTTCAATAATATTGTGCTCATCGCTGTTGCAGTTTCAAAGCCATCTTCAAGTCATTTGTTGTCATTAATTTTTATCTGTCTCATGTTGCTGTTGCAAGGCTATGTTGCTTGTTGAAATTTTACCCTAAAAACAGAGCCTTATCTAAAACAAGACATTACCACTTTAAACACAGTGCATGCAGAGTACAGTAGAACATCGATAACTCAAATTCCCTGTTAACTCAAACTGTTATTCATTCTCCTTTAGAGTTTGAGTTACCTAGTTTCTACTGTATATCACAACATATATATGGGCAATTACAGGGTGTGGTTTTCAGGCAGTTACATCTCCTGTTAAAATATAGCCCGCTAGCAGACTCGCTTGTTTGGGGTCACGCGCGAGTATCTTGGCAGTGGAGCCACAGAGGCTGCCAAGATACTCACGCATGACCCCAAACAAGCGAGCCTGCTAAAAAACTAATTAAAGTAGAGAGAATAAGAGAATTCTTGGAATGTAGAAATGCATAAGTATCATTTAGTCGGAAACTGGCCAGTCGATAAAAACACAAACAGAGGGCCTTGGCCAGTATCCAGCCATCTGAACTTCACTTCAAGTCAAAAACATAAACTTATTTGTGGAGCGCAATAATGAGTCCAGCATAACAAATCGTCGCTCACTAAATGGCTTTAAAAACATCACTATGGGCATGACAAAAAGCTGCCAGCAATTATTGGAGCAACTTTATTGTGTTGTGACAAATGTGGCAATGGAAAAGGGCCATTTTTTAAGCAGATATATAACAGAAGCTCGCAGAATGATACCAGAAAATGCATTTATCATGAGGATAAAGTTGGAAAGGAAAGGTAAGACTAAGCGTATAACAGGTTTTCAGCAGACATAACTGTAGTCATGCTGATGAACAAGATCAAAAGCATTTCCCTCTGCTTCGAAATAAACTCCTTTTCTACCAAGTGGTTGAAAAAATTATTTATTATTCTGCATCTTTTCAATCTCTTGCACTGCGCCATTTAGTGATGGTGGCATCTACATTGTAACAGGTCCTCTTAGTGAGAGATTTATGCCTGTAAACTGAATTTCAAAACCGGTCATTTTGCTTACTGAGGAGGACATGTCCTTGACAGTATTTTACTATTGTATTTTCAATTGTGCTCATCGCTGTTGCAGTTTCAAAGCCATCTTCAAGTCATTTGTTGTTATTAATTTTTATCTGTCTTATGTCGCTTTTGCAAGGCTATGTTGCACGTTGAAATTTTACCCTAAAAACAGAGCCTATCTAAAACAAGACATTACCACTTTAAACACAGTGCATGCAGAGTACAGTGGAACATCAATAACTTGAATTCCCTGTTAACTCAAAATAAATTTCCTTTCCCTTGATCAAAAATGATAACTCAAATTCCCTGCTAACTCAAACTGTTATTTGTTCTCCTTTAGAGTTTGAGTTACCTAGTTTCTACTGTATATCACAGCATATATATGGGCAATTACAGGGTGTGGTTTTCAGGCAGTTACATCTCCTGTTAAAATATAGCCCGATAGCAGACTCGCTTGTTTGGGGTCACACGCAAGTATCTTGGCAGTGGAGCCGCGGAGGCCGCCAAGATACTCACGCATGACCCCAAACAAGCGAGCCTGCTAAAAGGCTAATTAAAGTAGAGAGAATAAGAGAATTCTTGGAATATAGAAATGCATAAGTATCATTTAGTAGGAAACTGGCCAGTCGATAAAAACACAAACAGAGAGCCTTGGCCATTATCCAGCCATCTGAACTTCACTTTAAGTCAAAAACATAAACTTATTTGTGGAGCGCAATAATGAGTCCAGCATAACAAATCGTCGCTCACTAAATGGCTTTAAAAACATCACTATGGGCATGACAAAAAGCTGCCAGCAATTATTGGAGCAACTTTGTCTTTTGTTTACTCACAGAGCTATAGCCAAAGCTTCTGCCTCCATTTTCTTTATAGCATCTTTCTCCTGAAATTTAAAAGACAATATTCCAACATAAATTTATTCAAAACCTTCTGCTAAGAAATACAATTAAGTCCAGGTGATCAATAATGCCTGAGAAATATTTTGGGGCTGGGGGTGGGGGTGGGGGTGGAGGGTCTATGATGAGGCAGCACGACTGAAATAATCAAGATTCTCAGATTTTCTTATTTTGTACCAAAAATTTGGACAGTATAAAAGAAAGAGGCTCCATCCTTAAATTAATCAACAGTGAAAGCAGAACCCTACGTGCGCGCAAAGCATGTATGAGCTAAGCCCCATACCTAAGAAAATTTGGTAATCTATCCATCTGCACCACAGGCTAACCAATGTGAAATGTCAAACTTCTTGCTAGTGTGGGAGCCTGTAACTTGTGTTTAACTTGACAATGGACATCAAAACAAGGTATCTGCTGACCAAAGTCTCATGACCACATCACAGGCTGGCTCAGGTACCAACCCATCAAGGTCACGTGTTTTTTTTAATTTTCTCTTGACTAGTTATTAGCTTTTAGTTGATCACAGGCTGAAGTTTATGTTTTTCACTCCCATAACGTTAAGTTTAGATTTATGGATTTCTTTGCACTGGTTTCAAGTCCATTATCTGAGGTAAATTTAAAATGCATTAAAGGGAGCTTCACTTTAAGCTCTGGCTAAATCTACGAATTTAACGTTGGTTGTAATACAGAATTTACCTCACCTGTTGCTTGGAAATTGCAGAGTCTGCTTTACCACCCTTTGTATACCTGTAAATAAGTGTATAACTGATTAAAATTTAGCTGATTTTAAAACTAGACTGTTTATGGCAGATAATGAAAAATAAGTTGTCGTGAATAGTCTTAAGACAAGGAATGAAGAAAAATTCAATGCTTAGAAAAAAAAAAAGATTTACCAGTGAAGATCCTTTCCCTTTTGCCATCTTCCCACTGGGGCTTTGACTGAGTGACCTAGTGAATGCACACAAAAAACGTTAATGTTATAGAACTTAGAGTCAAGCAGTACCCCACCCAAAAATTCCAATAAGCAACCCCCCTAAATAAGCAAAATGAACATTTCTTGCAGTTGCATTAGCTATATTTGCATTGTGTTGTGACAAATGTGGCAATGGAAAAGGGCCATTTTTTAAGCAGATATATAACAGAAGCTCGCAGAATGATACCAGAAAATGCATTTATCATGAGGATAAAGTTGGAAAGGAAAGGTAAGACTAAGGGTATGGCAGGTTTTCAGCAGACATAACTGTAGTCATGCTGGTGAACAAGATCAAAAGCATTTCCCTCTGCTGCGAAATAAACTCCTTTTCTACCAAGTGGTTGAAAAAAATATTTATTATTCTGCATCTTTTCAACAGGTCCTCTTAGTGAGGGATTTATACCTGTAGGCTGAATTTCAAAACCGGACATTTTGCTTACTGTGGAGGACATGTCCTTGACAGTATTTTACTATTGTATTTTCAATAATATTGTGCTCATCGCTGTTGCAGTTTCAAAGCCATCTTCAAGTCATTTGTTGTCATTAATTTTTATCTGTCTCATGTTGCTGTTGCAAGGCTATGTTGCTTGTTGAAATTTTACCCTAAAAACAGAGCCTTATCTAAAACAAGACATTACCACTTTAAACACAGTGCATGCAGAGTACAGTAGAACATCGATAACTCAAATTCCCTGTTAACTCAAACTGTTATTCATTCTCCTTTAGAGTTTGAGTTACCTAGTTTCTACTGTATATCACAACATATATATGGGCAATTACAGGGTGTGGTTTTCAGGCAGTTACATCTCCTGTTAAAATATAGCCCGCTAGCAGACTCGCTTGTTTGGGGTCACGCGCGAGTATCTTGGCAGTGGAGCCACAGAGGCTGCCAAGATACTCACGCATGACCCCAAACAAGCGAGCCTGCTAAAAAACTAATTAAAGTAGAGAGAATAAGAGAATTCTTGGAATGTAGAAATGCATAAGTATCATTTAGTCGGAAACTGGCCAGTCGATAAAAACACAAACAGAGGGCCTTGGCCAGTATCCAGCCATCTGAACTTCACTTCAAGTCAAAAACATAAACTTATTTGTGGAGCGCAATAATGAGTCCAGCATAACAAATCGTCGCTCACTAAATGGCTTTAAAAACATCACTATGGGCATGACAAAAAGCTGCCAGCAATTATTGGAGCAACTTCAGAATATCCCTGGCTTCTGGCATGCAAGACTGAGCTCTAAGGAAAATTAAAGGGAGCCCGGTGCTCTGAAACTGTAAAATCTAGGGTGCCCAGCATGTGATTTGTAAGAAAAAAACTAAGATTTTCTAGACACCGTGGCACCACCGGGCACTACTGGAATACAGTCCTGTACATGTGAGTGATATCTGTTAACTCAGTGTCGATTACTCCCATGGTCCCACAGTCATCAAGTAAATGGTGTGTGTTTTCAGTTCACAGTACTGCAGTCCTGTGGTCCCGTTGTCCTGTAGTCAATAAATTTACTACAATCAAGTAAGTAAAACAGATGCTCCTATAGTACTACAGTCCTGTAGTTGATGGATCTATTAAAATCGGGTATTAAAGGGAAACAAATGCTCCTGCATTCCTCGCGTCAACAAATATTTTTCAAAACTAGCTTAACTTAATTTGATGTGAAAGAAGAAAGAATGATATATATACAGTTTGACGTCATTTTTGTATTTGCTTTGTAGATTTTTGCGATTGCGTGCCAATGTGAGTAGCTTTTAAAGATGTTTATTTTAAAAAGTGGCCGGTTATTCTGAAGTTTTAAAGCTCAAATTCGGTTATGAGAGAATTGGAACACACTTGAGATTCACCTAAATAGTTTTCTCTGTACTTATCAGCCTTCACGTCTTCCCAGTCAAACTGATCTTGTCCTCCACGCACTCCTCCTCTTGAAGGGTGGTACATCTTGCTATCTTTGCGTATATTTTGAAAACTATTTCTACTGATCAAGAGAAGACTTTGAAACGTCCTTCAAGATCCACATTGCCGCCATCTTGAAATTTGTTCTAGTCACCAAGTTCCTTCGGCCACACGAAAATGCGTCAGGACATTCGTCAGTGGACTGGATTGATTTAGCAAGCATAATGAGCACACGATTCCGACCTCAATGGTTTGATCACAATGGTTTTATCAGGATTCGTCTTGTTCTTGATATTCCAATCTTTAGTTTTCTTTTTGTTAAATTTTCTTTCGACGAGATAGCACTTACATGAAATACTAGAATAGAAGAAACTCGTGTTATATAAAGGTGAACTATATGGCCCTGAAGCGAAACATGACCATTTTGCAACAAATGAATGAGATTCTGGGTCTTAATACGATTACACTGATGATAATAATCAATAATAAGGAAAGTCCTAGCTCAACTGGTTGTTCTTCTAACCGTTCCCTTTTTTGAAGTCGAAAATCAATTTATGCAGTTTCTGCAGGAGCAGCTATTTGGATAGCCTACTAACGCAGATTTGTTTGCGGGCTACGAGAGGCCAAAACCCTTAATTTTTGTTCCACAGTCAGATGAATCTTTAATACTAAAAATTGTTTTTGCGAATGATTAAAGAAAGATTTACAAGTTCGTCAGACGAAGTTCTTTTCAACAATAGTGACTTGCGTCCAGTGAGGTTGCTTGGCGCGCATAACAGCAAAGACGCCCTCCAAAAGCATCTCACGGCCCACAAGAATGTTCTCTCTGTCAAAGAGAGAATAGATTTTCTGTCACGAAATTTATTTCCTCTCTAAAACTATACGCCTATTTATAATAATAGAAATACAACTGAAAAGGTTCCATCCCATTAATTTCTATCCTTTTCATTTGTCATTTCGCTCTGCATATGTTTATATTTTTATGCATTAAGAACTCCTGGGATAAGTAAAGCTATATCCCCAGCTATATACATAGATTTTTTTGTTCAATTTAATAATAGAAATACGTATTTCACGCATTGTAACCCCTCGCGTAACTCGCGGTGTTGCACAAAAGTTAAGCCTGCTTGGTACGCAGTAAAACTAAAATGGAAATGTCACTTTCATGAATGTAGGGTGCTTAGCAACGACAACGACGAGGGCAATGAAAACGTCCCTAGTTCTCAAAATGAATGAGCGCTTTTTTTTTGTACCAAAACTTTTTCGCGTTTATTTCAAGTCTCTTAAAATGGCAAATATACGGTAAACTTCCCTAAGGAGTCTTGGGGAACGCACCCAAGTTTGGACTCGGAGAAGAAATTGAATTTGCCCCTGTGTTTACGTCCTCCGAATAACGTCGCTAAAGGAAATTTAACGTCGTGTACGTGTTCGTACAAGTTGTAATTAAAGAAAAGTGCGCTGCCCTTCGCCGTGACCGTGACCTTCTTCGTTCACTCAAGGATTTACTAATGTGCGTAAGCGGTTAGGAATCCGAACACGTTTTTATTTAAAACGCTTTCCATCTTTACACTAGATATATATGTTATTCAAGATTCGGTCCATTAATCACTTACTTCGTTTATCTGGAAACCGACATTTGGGTCAGGAGAGGAAAAAGAAAGTCCGTTGTTTTAGAAAAAATTGTAATCACTTCAAAGAAGCAACCAGAGTTGAATGAAATGAGGCAAACTGTGCTCTTAAAATAATTATCTTTCAATATTTTGCTTTCTTTTTAGAATTAACTTTTATTTTTTTATTATTTAATCATTATTTATTTATTATTTTTATTTACTTTTGTGAACGACTTTGTCAGGCGCACGTGCGTACCGTGCGTACAGGTAGCTACACCCCTACCCTGTCGGTAGTTGTTAGAAACTAGTTGGGCGACCATCCGCGAATCAGTCCTGTCGAAGCCATTTCTGATTCCGTCTTTTTCGTCATAAGGTTCGGAACGAGGGACACCTTTTTTAGGACGGCTTTGCATGTGAGAAACAGAAGAGGCACTTGTGTACCATTGCGCACTAGCAAGAATCTCTTGGCACTAGCATATTGAACTCTAACCTTTGTTAAAAGGACTTGCAAAATTTTTTTTTTTTTTTTGCACACCTGACCTTGACAGTATGGCGTCTTTTTCACCTAAATAGTTTTCTCTGTACTTATCAGCCTTCACGTCTTCCCAGTCAAACTGATCTTGTCCTCCACGCACTCCTCCTCTTGAAGGGTGGTACATCTTGCTATCTTTGCGTATATTTTGAAAACTATTGAGAAGACTTCGTACCGTCCTTCAAAATCCACATTGCCGCCATCTTGAAATTTGTTCTAGTCACCAAGTTCCTTCGGCCACACGAAAATGCGTCAGGACATTCGTCAGTGGACTGGATTGATTTAGCAAGCATAATGAGCATACGATTCCGACCTCAATGGTTTGATCACAATGGTTTGATCAGGATTCGTCTTGTTCTTGATATTCTTATTTTTCTTTTTGTTAAATTTTCTTTCGACGAGATAGCCCTTACATGAAATACTAGAATAGAAGAAACTCGTGTTATATAAAGGTGAACTGTATATAGCCCTGAAGCGAAACATGACCATTTTACAACAAATGAATGAGATTCTGGGTCTTAATACGATAACACTGATGATAATAATCAATAATAAGGAACGTCCTAGCTCAACTGGTTGTTCTTCTAACCCTTCCCTTTTTGAAGTCGAAAATCAAGTTTCTGCAGTTTCCGTAGGAGCAGCTATTTGGATTGTAGCCTACGAACGCAGATTTGTTCTCGGGCTACTATTTGGATGGGCGCAGAGGCCAAAACCCTTAATTTTCGTTCCAAACTCAGATGAGTCTTTATTACTAAAAATCGTTTTTGCGAATGTTTAAAAAAAGATTTACAAGTTCGTCAGACAAAGTTCTTTTCAACAAGAGTGACTTGCGTCCAGTGAGGTTGCTTGGCGCGCATAACAGCAAAGACGCCCTCTAAAAGCATCTCACGGCCCACTAGGATGTTCTCTCTGTCAAAGAGAGAATAGATTATTCTCTCTTTTTCTGTCACGAAATTTATTGCCTATCTAAAACTACACGCTTATTTATAATAATAGAAATACAATTGAAAAGGTTCCATTAACTTCTATCCTTTTCATTTGTCATTTGTATTTCGCTCTGCATATGTTTATATTTTTATGCATTGAGCACTCCTAGGGTACGTGAAGCTATATACGTATATATTTTTTTGTTCGTTTTAATAATAGAAATACGTATCTCGCGCATTGCAACCCCTCGCGAAACTCGCGGTGTTTCACAAAAGTAAAGCCTGCGTGGTACGCAGTAAAACTAAAATAGAAATGTCAGTTTCATGAATATAGGGTGCTTTAGCAACGACGACGGCGAGGGCAATCAAAACGACCCAAGTTATCAAAATGAATGCGTTTTTTTTTGTACAGAAACTTTTTCGCGTTTATTTCAAGTCTCTTAAAATGGCAAATATACGGTAAACTTCCCTAAGGAGTTTTGGGGAACGCACCCAAGCTCGGACTCGGAGAAGAAATTGAATTTGCCCCTGTGTTTACATCCTCCGAATAACGTCGCTAAAGGAAATTTAACGTCGTGTACGTGTTCGTACAAGTTGTAATTAAAGAAAAGTGCGCTGCCCTTCGCCGTGACCGTGGCCTTCTTCGTTCACTCAAGGATTTACTAATGTGCGTAAGCGGTTAGGAATCCGAATACGTTTTTATTTAAAACGCCTTCCATCTTTACACTAGATATATATGTTATTCAAGATTCGGTACATTAATCAGTTACTTCGTTTATCTGGAAACCGACATTTGGGAGAGAGGAAAAAGAAAGTCCGTTGTTTTAGAAAAAATTATATTTCAAAGAAACAACCAGAGTTGGATGAATTGAGGCAAACTGTGCTTTTAAAATAATTATCTTTCAATATTTTGCTTTCTTTTTAGAATTAACTTTTAATTTTTTATTACTTAATCATTATTTATTTATTATTTTTATTTACTTTTGTGCACGACTTTGTCAGGCGCACGTGCGTGCCGTGCGTACCGGTAGCTACACCCCTACCCTGTCGGTAGTCGTTAGAAACTAGTTGGGCGACCATTCGCGAATATCCTGTCGAAGCCATTTCTGATTCCGTCTTTTTCGCCATAAGGTTCGAAACGAGAGACACCTAGCGAGTTAATTTTCCTACAGAGGAGTTTTTTTAGGACGACTTTGCATGTGAGAAACAGAAGAGGCACTTGTGTACCATTACGCACTAGCATATTGAGGTGTAACCTCTCTGACTTGCCTTTGTTAAAAGGACTTGCAAAAAAAACTATTTTTTTTATTTTTTTTGCACATTAGACCTTGACAGCATGGCGTCTTTATTCTTCATTTCAGTTTTTTGTTCCGTTTACTTCAGACAAATGTATGACAAAAATAAAAAGAAGAAGAAGAATAATACAATTTGCTCCCATATTTTCTTAGGAAGCAAGAATGAAGAACGGAAAACCTGTTTTTCATGTTTACATTATCGTATATTAAAATTGACAGGCTCTAGCTTCGTTCATGCCCAACTGAACTCGCAATGACGTCACTGATCAGTCCTTGACGGTATGAGATTTCTTCATGGCCACACATCGATTTTGGAAATTTGATAATATTCGCTATGAATTTATCTTTATGAATAATAATTTGCAACGAGCATGCTTTGTTTTCTTACTAAAATAAAACTAAGTCCAAACGAAGTGAAACATACATGGCAGATATTCAGAAAAATTAAGTAAAACGTTAAGGTGAAGTGAGCCGATCAATCGCTTTTACAAGCAAGCAAGTCTTTCTTTGTTCTAGCACAGCAAACAAAGCCGTGTCCTTACCTTTACGCGTAAACTCGGAAATTTCAAGAAAATCAGCCGCACGATTTTTCTTGAAATTTCCGAATCGATAGGAAGTGTAATGTCGATATAATCTCATTAATTTAAAAGGTATCAGGTAGTGATTTTTTTCTTCGGCTCAAAAGCCGGAAAACAAAGCTTAAAAAAGGGCAATATCTACAGATAACTAAAAGCATTTTTTTGCGCGCGCGTGGATCTCAATGTATTGAGAAATGGCTGTCGGTGTTTTACAATCAACCACCTTCATTCCACCTGCACCGAAGGCACAACGTCACCTAGCCAGACAGAAACAAAAATAATCGATCTTCTGCCATTTTCGACAAGAGTAATCAATTAGGTCGTGACATGACTAATGCAATCTATCAACGCCTTCGAGGATATACATGTATTTTTTAGCAGTTTTCACCCTACTTCGATTTCAGTTTTGGCGAAAATAAAAATCGGCACGCCTTCTGTCCACCTCGGATCTGAAACTCGAAACTTTCCCTCATGGAATAATTTAATTCTGAAATGAGCACAGAAGCACACTTTCTTATATTTTTCTAGCGTTTAGGATAAATTCATTTGTTTTAAGTCGAGGAGATAAATGCGAAATTCTCCCTTTTACACCTTATACTTGATTCACGTCGAAAAAAGAAGAACCGGCGAAAGAGTGGAGCTTTAGACAGACTTATTAAAACACAAACCGATTAGTATATACCCTCTGTAAATACAATTTTGCTTAATATTTTCAAGGAGTGTACTCTGTACAAATTTTCTTCCTTCGGAATGCACCGGTTGTCATTACGAACGGTAGTTTCCCTGCGTTTTTGGTGTGCAATCTATTTCTATCTATGACAGATCGCTTGCATACTTTTTAAGTGACACTGACTTAATTTGTTTCCACTCCAGCTTCATCTTGACGGCAAGCCTTTAGGGCGGAAAGTTGTCGGGCTAAACATATGCAGACTGGAAATTCGCCTGTGATTGGACGATGCGTTTCATGATATATCCCGACTAGTACACTGAGTACTGATTTAATCACAGCAACGGTATCTCTGACGAACCAGTGTACCATTCGGGCGCATTGTATTTTATTTGTCTGGTCAGTGTGTTAGCTAAGTTAAAATCACTTTAGCGGTTACGCCATGGTGGTGTTCTCAGAAATACTGTGTTGAGCGCACGAAAAGTTAGCAAGGGCCAAGATACCGCGTATCGCCGGGTCTGTAGCTAAAAAAGCCCTCGCCCGTTTCCTTTCGCACAAAGATGGGAGCTTCTCTTTCAATTAGTCGAAAGGATCTACTCCACGAATATTCCATGTGGAATAACAAGGCTCGAGAGAGCGCAAAAAGTTTCCATTGCAAGTGTTGTTATCATGTAAACAGCAACAGTGATGTGCGCGTCGGAAAAGAAAACAAGGCCCCTCAAACGACTTGCGACGCTGTCGCGGCTTACATACATAAGTGTGCGAATGTCGGCAAGAAGAAAATGAAATCTAAAATCGAGCCAGCCACCGGGAAGACCAAGCCAAAGGAAAATGAAAATACGCTGAAATTCCAAACAGCACCGGCGACCGTCAGCGTGGAACAGCAAAACGCTAAACTGCCAATCATGCCCATCTCGACAGATTCCAAGCAAGTTGTTAGTGCCGGGGAAGTTGCAGTCGCTGTGGCCCCGGTAAAACCCAAAGTACCAATCGCCTCTTTCATGGTAAGCAGCGATGCTCTGAAATGTGTTGGAAATTTCGTCCGCTGTCACTGCAAAAATTTAACGCGATTTCGCGCATCTGAGGTGGTTCTATGGCTACGAGGAGTAGATAGGGCGTTACTTTTGCAGGGATGGCAGGATCAAGCGTTCCTGACGCCCCCAAACCTCGTGTTTCTGTTCATGTTGCTGAAGGAAAGTTTATCAGACAAAATACCAAACCCTGCTCAGCTACGAGCTGAAATTTTAACATGCCTCTACATGGCATACACCTACAACGGCCCGGAAATAAGTTACCCTTTAAAGCCATTTCTCATAGATGGAGATAGACGAGCCTTTTGGGATCGATGTATGTTTATAACAAATAACTTGAGCGAGAAAATGCTTCAGATGAACAGAGAGCCAAGATATTTTGGCGAACTGCTGGTTGAATTGAAAAATTATGGGAATGTAGTTGACCGAAGAGACGGATGATAAATTAGGAAAAAAAAAAAAAAAGCTGAGACTCTTCTTGCTGGATTTGACTTCCTTTTAATCTGTATAGATAATTGCCGTGTCTAAAACAGACAAAACTGGAAAAATAATAATGATAAATGGCTGGAGTTTAATATGTATGTACAGAGCATTTTGTCAGATGCATAAGGCCAAGTCAAATGCGTATTAGCAATGCGCGTCGTTTTTCATCAAAACTAAACTTTCCTGTGTTTTGAAACAGCTCCGGCCGCAGCTGATTTCATGAAGTCATAACTTATTCAGCACATGTTGGCATTGAGAAAATTACAATGCGCCAAATAAACAGTGCGGCATCACTGATCTTCAAAAAATTTATATTTTTGTTGTTAAAATTTTCCAGATAGATGTTTCAGGACTTAATAATCCTGCGAGGATAAAAAACTGACGCACTAAGCGTGTGGCGACTTTTGCTTATGAATAGATGAAAATAAATTCACTCGGACTAAATTAAATATTAGTCAACGCGCTCTGAGCCAGTAAGTAGATCTAAGTAGTTTAGAGTTGAAAATGAAGTTGCTTGAGAAGGTCAAATATACAGTAGAACGCCATCCTATAAGTTATATACAGATTTTATGGAATACAAAGAGAATTATTATTAAAATGTTTATTTATAATAAATTATAACATCTGTTTTCTTGCGAACTTTCCCTTTAGCGACCGAGCTAACACGAAGATTATACCTCGCACGTTTTCAAATAATACCGACTCGTGTCTCAGTCAACTTTCTGGGCATCAGTTCTTTTGTGATCTATCACTAATCAGTATTGTTTTCTATTCATTGAGGGCAAAAAGAAAATTATACATGGATTTACGCCTTCAGGACCTGAATGTACCTGCTATCACTGTTTTGATCGCGAGTAAACTTTTAAAGGCTTAGTGAACATTCGAAAATAATGAAACAGAAATAATTTTCTGTTTTGAAAAAGGAAAGCAAACCCCCTCTATCAGATTAAGCCTTTGAATAAATTTTAATTGAGTCCTTCTGGAGGAACGAGTTTAAGATTAATATGTCTTTGCCTTTCATCCAAAATATTCGTTATAAGTTATACTATGTGCAAAATATTGAGGTTTGCTGTTCTTTGTTTGCTCGTAAAAATGAAGGGACTTGGAAAAACCCACCCGCTGTCAAAATTTTAATCGAAAATCTGCGACATGGGAATGCAAATATAAAATTCATTTACAGGTTAATCCAAAAAGAATAGAACCCTTTGTGGAATTATTATTTTCTCGGCTCACGCGGCTTAATGCCAAAAACAAGACGAGTCATCACAACAGCTTTAAAACTCGTATCATCTAGCTCTTTCCGGCAGCTTTCGACGCAGTTCTCGCACAAACTCAAGGACGAGTTTTCGAGAACAAATCTAGTCGTTTCGTCAGTTATATTATTAAAAAATTTATCGCTTAGCCGGTCTCAGAAATGAGTCATAAAGATGAATATTAATTTCGTTTTCAGTCCTCGACCAGTGTGGTTTTTGTGGTGTCAAAACCGAGCCTAAAATGCCAACGCAAGTAAAATGCCATTATTATTTTCACAAGGTAAAAAGCTAAATTAAGCAGAATAGTTTTGGAGAAAAAACCTCCGCCTTTAGCAAGTTTATTTTACAAACATGTCAAAAACACGCAGAAATCAATTTGTTTGTTTTATTTTTCCTCTGGCTTATCAACTGTATTTTAATGCAATACCTGCTACATTCTCCACCAGTCAAATCAAGCTGATCAAAGCAGCTTCCACAGTGCTCTAGATTGAAGAGATTTCATTTGCCACAATGTTCGGTTTTAAAGTTGCATTTGTCAGGTATAGTTAATCGTAGAAGTTCGTTGCCTTTGAAAAGCCCTGCCAATTATAATCAAATACTTTGCTAATGTGGGAAAGGCAATAAAAGTTCACTTCTGTTTCTCATACTGAATGCAGCCTGATTTTATAACAAGTAATTTGCATACTACCAAGGCTATAAAAGGCTGTACCTTGAAAAGAATTTCTCTTATAAACTGCCCAACAGTACAGACCAAAAGGAAGCAAATTCTTTCACGTTTAACGCACGTTTACTTAAAAGTGTTTTCTCCATACTGTGTTCACTATCCAGAGTAAATTACCATTTTTGAGCATAACAATTTTGAATTGAAAATCATTCAGGTTATTATAAAGTTAACTGAAAACCAAGAAAACCTATGTCTACTAGTACTTTTAGACCAAAGTTTGTCCCACGCAAAATTTCATAACACAAAAATGTTTTTTTTTAAATTTCTTTATGCGCAATTAAATGAGAAAATCTCTGTAAAATCTTTGTAAATCATCTGTTTCTCTTGAAGTTAGTCTAGAATGACACTTGGTCAATTTTATAGATTTTTTTGTTTTCAAACAAACAAGTAGGAATGTTCAATTGCAATTGTTGATTTGACACAATGAGATATGCTTGCAATAAAACACTACTTAAAATGAATTTGGCACATTTGGTGACGTCATGATCAGAAATAAAATATGATTCTCAAACTGAGCCGCATCATGATTTGAAAACTAATTACGCTTTAGGCAAATGACGATAGGTGTAATTTATATTCTGCGACAGTATAACACTTAGAGACGTTTTCAAACATTTTACGCAAATGAGAGTCTATTCTCAGGCGAACGATTGGATCAAATCAAGATTAAATATGAGCCTCGAAAGGCGTTCGAAGTGGCAAGAAAAAACTCGACAACTAGATTGGTCTTTTAAACTGTCAAGCAAACATGAACTCAGATGATCCTAAAATTCAATCTTTAAATTCAACTAAAACGTATTCGAATTTATCTTAATTTTGGTTTTTTAACTAGTTAATCAAGGTTAACCACAACCAAGGAATAAAATACTGAAGTAAAAAACTAAGAGTAAACAAACGGCAACACAGGAAACTCGTTAAAAACTCTGCGCTAAAATGGTCGCACTTACAGATTCAAGGCACGTAAAGTATAAGTCAATCGATACCCATCAATCTGCTCAGCTTGATCAGTGAAAAAAATTTCGGTCGAGTAGTTTTCACACTATCGGATATCACTCAGATTTAAATTTAGAACATGCAGCTTGCACTTTTTTCCGATAAAACATGAGAAAAATAAAAGTCTTATTTTTATATATAGTCAAGTAGTTTTTACACTATAGGATATCACTCAGATTTAAATTTAGAACATGCAGCTTGCACGTTTTCCCAACGAAACATGAGAAGAATAAAAGTCTTATTTTTATATATAGTTGCATGATCTTTAATGCTATAATTTTTCAGTTAATGCTTTATGGGAATTTGACTGTATGGTGAAAAGAGAATTGAGTAATTCTTGGGTAACACCTGCCAAAAAGTTAATAAAATAGTGCTTTTATTTTTTTTAGTGACATTAAGGAGAGTAAGCCCACAGTCCTTAATTTTTTCGAACTTTATATTTTCACTGTTTTTTTTTTACCCAAAAAAGAAAAGCATTCTGCGTTTAGAAACAGGTCAATATTCCTAGAACAATTTTAAAATGTTGTTATTAGGATAAATACGTGTAATACTTACAAACGCATGAGTGAGACTTCTGTATATAAGGTACCAAAAAGGTATCCGGCGGCAATTCTGTTAACAAGACGAGAAAATATAGAAAACACTCACAACAACGGAAAAATCGAAGAAAACAGCAGATATATTTAGCCAAAACAATGCTAGCAAACGCCTATACAATAGTCGCAGAGGAAGCTGAAACAAAACAGAGCTAAAATAAAACATCATAACGAAGTTACTCTAAAAAAAAACACTCCGTTAGGCTTTTGCAGGAGCCCATGATCTGGAGCGAGCAATCTACTTCCATGTACTCATGTCAGGGCGTTTTCATTAACTAGTTTATTTTTAGAACGATTTTGGCGCGAATCTAAAAAGTGTTTTCTCCCCACAAACCAGAAGGCAGAACCTACAGTCAGACCTGAAAATGGTATTTTTGACCTTTTAATGACGCTAACTGACTTTCCTTTTTCGAAATTTCTTATACTCCGAATGCGCTTATGGACGGGTTGACCTGAGCTTCCATTTTCGTGGAAAGAACTGCTTGCTCTAAAATGTATCTAAAAATAAACTGGTCTATGAAAGCGCCTTGACATAGGCCTAGTATGGGAGTTGCTTGCTCCTTGTTATGGGCCCCTGCCTTTCGTAACTCTAAGTCAAACATGATTGAGGTTACTTGACTTAATAACTATCATTAATTGTGATTAATACTCATTACGTATTTATTATTAATTATTTTGAACCAGAACAGCGAGATTTCATTTGCTTGTTTGTACTCAAACTTTCTTCTTCTAATCCCCTCATTGAGAGGTTAAAACTATATCCGAGAGAGTTCCAAAATTTTATTGTTCAAATACTAAACTAAAGAATAAGGTCATGGGCTAATGTAAGTGATGATTTATTGAAATGAAAAAAATATGATTCTTATGTGTAATGAAACGGTAGACAGGCGAGTGAATAATTTCGCGCGCGTCTTGTCGAAAACGCACGGAAAATTATTATTGCATGTTAATTTTACATGTCAGTGAAATAAATTAACGATAAAATTTCCCTCCAAAATTAAGGAGCAATTATGGATGGAAGCGAGGCTGACGGTGACCTTGTGTTGATACAAACTTCCCTGCTTTACTATGTAAATCAGGTTATTCTTATGCTAACAAGTATTTTTCACGGACAACATCCATCACAAAGCAAAGGAGGTTTCTATCAAAACAAGGTCACCTTCAGCCTCACATTCACTCGAAGGCGAGGTAGCTAAGTCCACAACTTTAAAATAGTCTGTTTATCACCAATGTTATAAGACCCCTTTTATCAAGGAAACCGTGATTTAGTTAGTAGACTGAGCGGAGATTCTTCGTTGACTGACGAACCAGTTTTCGAAAGATTATCGTGTGCTCGAGTCTCGTCGACTTTCAGAGTATTTCAACGCTTCATCCTTTAATTTTAATACTAAG